TGGAGGGAAGATTCTCTTCTTTAGTTTCGGGCGTAGCCGAAGACAAATGCCGAGAATGACCCTCCAAAAACTGCGAAAGAATTGCTGATATTTTTAGTTGAAATTTGAATTATTTAATAGGGATATTGTCGCAAATTTGAGCTGGCGAAGGATTCTTCCTTTCTAAGAATCCAGGAACAGCAGGCTATCGAATTTGCGGTCGAGTGAAGTGCGGACGAGCTCATTGATTTACTAATGCAAAAATACTGAGGTTTTTTTTTTTATCTTAGGAGAACGTCCTGCAACGGACTTCTTTCACAAGGCCCCATTCAACCACAATGTATCACCAGGGCCTCTTGGATGCATACACTGGCATATGTATGCGTTTGTACTACCGAAATAAATCTGCCGACAGCCCTTAAGACGTGTACGGAAAACGTTTTCCTTTAAGACCGTACTTCAGTACAGTATCTTCATTCTTATCATTTTTTCTGTCCCGTTTTCCTCGAGCATATGAGGAGCCCCTGCTAAATTTTTGAGAAACCTAATATAGGGCTCCGCGGGGCATAGATAGATAATCTCTACTTTAATGTATGGTGTTCAAGAGTTCTGTCTTAGTTGACGGATAATGCAATAAAGTCGCCGACGAACCCATTCGTTCCCATCAAACTGCAATGATCTAATCTATTGAAATTCATGTAGAAATGTGTCCAACTTACATGGATGACTTCAAAATCAAAGGAATATTTTCGAGAAGACTTCAGTTGAATAGCATTTCTCTGTTGAGAAAGAACGAACAAATACAATTGGTTTTATGAGACATTCTGTTTACAATGGAGAAAAAACCAAGGACAGGTCGAGCAAGTATGTTGCCGAGCAAGATTCGGTTCGCGGAACATCGGTCGTCTAAGAAATGACGTCTGTATAGATGTCTAGTAGCGAAGACCCTTGTGTTCCTGTGAAAAACATTAGGGACAGATCATACAAATGAGGGTGGCGTGCCTCTTGTCAATTTAAGCTAAATTGATGACAATTTCGAGGGTTAGGGTGAACACAAATCCTGTACTGAACAGTATCGTAATTTTATGAGGTTTCGTAGTTGAGATCTGCGATCGAGACGCAGATCAGCTGAAGGTCATTTTCGATGCTTTTAGACACTTTAGACTCTTTGGAGTGACGGTTTTTCCAAATCAAGGCCTTGGAACTTACCTCCGGCTCATACAATTTTCAATTCTGTGCATACATTTCCTGATATCAAGTGTCGGCGTTAGTTTCACCTGGAGACAAAGACGAAACAAGTTGCCCCATTTAAACAATGCACACCGAACGCACATGAACAGACTCACGTCATTCAAAGTTCTGTTGGTTTGTTGCATGGCCCCCTTGCTGAAGTTAATTTCCGTCACTTCAGCATTGCACCATCTTTTTGACAGATGAAGTTAACTATAAATTTATATGGCGAAGCCCCTTATGTTTGCATTATATCTTGCGTCATTTTGAAGTGGGACTTCGGTTCCTTTTTCGAATCTTCCTGGATTGCCCATATAAGTAATTCGCGTAGCTGTCGGAAGGTGTGTGCGGAGCAAATGTTGAAAATACGGTCATTCGCCTTAGTTCATGCTTCTTCCTCATATTTCAAATATTGTATCCTTTGCATTATCTTCTACAGAAGTCTGCGTCGATGCTTCCACACGGCCTCACCATGATCGTTTCTCGTTGGAAACTTTCCCCTCGTTTCCTGAACGCCGGGACTCGTTTGACGTTTTACGCGGTGTCTTACGACGTCGCTGCTGCCCCGGGTCGGTGTCGTATAATTTACAGCCGCGAGGAGAGGGAGAGGAAATTCTTTCCTATAGACGCTTGCTTGTGGTTCGATCGAGAACCATTCTTCAAAAAATAGCGTGCGGCATTCTGCGATTGCTTCGACTTTTGCTCGCTCGGTTAACTTTACGTCCCACTCGCCTTCACGTCCCGGACCGGAGGTACGGGACAGTAAGTACTATTTTAAGTTTGTTTCGCGTTAACCTTCGAACGCCGTTTCCAGGGAAATAACTCAATCCGCCGTTTCTTGCTATATAAGCAGGATTCCATTTGCAAGTTGAAGTTTTTCCGCGTCATTTCGTCGCAGTTGTGGCATTTAAACGACCAGAAAGTCGGCAGCGCATTGGAATTATGATGGCAAATGCGTTCATTTTTCGCGGCGCGGTGGCGTTGGCACTACGAGTAACTTGATGGATACGTTGCGATTGCTGCCTCGATTCATGCACTACCTTCACGATTCCAAATCGCTTCAATAACCAATGAGACATGATCTAAAGAAATGTCGAATAGTTATAGTCAAGTTATTTCGTTGCCGTGCGCCAAGTTTCTCCGTGTGATTGGAAAACGCCTGCTTCTTTGTTACGCCCAGAAGGTCTGAATCCATGAAGATTTTGGAGCCTGATGCGCTCTTCCGGAATTAATTTTGAGTCGATTTTTTGAAATTTACGTCGTATTTTGGAGCAAAATTCCGGTTTTAAAACGCGGATGTCTGTAGAAAAGCACTTGATGACAATCTACATCAAATTTTTTTTTCTTCTGAGAAGTTTGCCTCTCGAGAATGTCGGGAATAAAGTACAATAGATTGTACAACGATTTTCACATCAGCAATACTCCGGGTATGACAGTCAACAATGGGATATTGAAGAACTCGATCGCTTTAATATTTTACGTATGCAGATGACGGATCAGCAATATATTATCTCTGAAAGATTTGCTATGGGTTTATTATGCGCTGTACATGCAAATTTTTCCAGATGTGCAATAGGTTTGCTGAAATCTTGAAATTCCAAAACCTGAAACATGCATTACAGTCGGAACAAAAAGTATTGGGGCAGTAAAATTTGGCTCGGAAGCAATTCTTCATGCGTACTTAATTTTTGCCAGTCCCTGCCTCCCTTATTGATGCAGGAAGCGAAACGTGGGTACGTAAGGATTGGAACATTCCTTGGGAAGCGTGGTGTGGTATTAACCTGTTAATGCCGCACACATTTATCATTGCAGTCTGAAGGACAGTCTAAATGAGTGAAGAATGCCCCCACAGTAACAAATATTCTCTACACTGTACATAGCGACGCGTTGCCGTGACGTTGTCACGTTCTTGCTTGTCGCCTGCGAACGCCATTGATGCGAGGAGCACTGCGAAGGAATTAACACTTCGCTGTAAGGCTGTTCGTGATTTTTTCGCACCTGTTTCGAATTTGTATTGGGGGGTTTTTTGATCCGCCGTGAGACCTAGGCTCATTAGGGAGTGATCGTGATGGGGAAGCGGTGGTTATTCAATCGGCTGCCGGAGGTTTTTCATGTTCACAAAATCTTAAGCTTGAAATTTGCATTTGTGATCTTTATTTTGGGACTCGTCGACCAAACAATACCTTAGACAAGGCTTTGATGCTTAGAACAGTAACAGCCATTGAAAACTTTAAAAACCATATGAAAAATGATTCGTCAAGATTTTGTGCGAATAATATTTCAAGCAAGTTGCGTGGATTGCGTGCAACCTTTCGTCTGTTCACAAGGCGAAGCTTAACATCAGTTATCCCATGTGTCAACTGCTTGCTTACGAACGAAGGTAACGGAAGGAATTCGAAGTAGCTATCTAATTTGTTTGTGACAATGCATATCTCAGGAATTTGTGAGTCGTTCTTTTCGTGAAAAAATATTTTACTTGTAACTGTCCTATTGTAGGAAGTTATTTCACAACAAAGAGTCAATACTTCAAAGAATATTCAGATGAACGAGGTTTATTCCGTTTTACGTAAGGCATGCGGAAATCGAACGCGCAGCTGAGCTTGAATCTTTCAGCTCCTGAGAGCAAAAAAAATTGTTGGGTTAGCGGTATTCCATGGTGATTCCTTTTCAATCAGCTCAATGCAGCTATTAAAATAACAGGGATTCTTTCGCTGCTTATTTGTTGACGAATCCTCCACAACTTTCGAACATTCAGATAATCAATCTTCTTTTTTTTCGGGATGGCCCTAAAACGCTGCTTTTCTCGATGTGAAAGACGACTCATTAAGGCGTACAACTCCGGGTTGCTTCTTTGATGCATCGTTGTCATTGCTCTTGGTTCCCCGCTAAGAGGCATCACGGTTTTATCGTTGATTTTTATCGGAGGATTACTGAAGCTTTATGACGTATCAATAATCAACAGTGAACCGGCTTCCGAGCTTTTCTTCACTACTCGAGACATTTTATTCACCAGTCACGGGGCTACTGCGAAATTCATTTTGAAAGGCATACGTTATTCTCCTATTCATTTTCAAGTAGCACATCAGAAAATGATGCGCGTTTCGTGAGAGCGAATATAGATTTCTGTTGCGAAATTTGTTTCTGGGTGTGGATAGACATGTTGATATTTACCGGAGATCTCATTGAATGGGAATCGACTAATTTTCTGAGCTTATACTTGAAGAAAAACTGGCACAGCAAAACTGTATTTATTCTGACTGATGATATGGGCGCATTCACTTTATCAATCGCATATGACGTATGGTCGAACATGAAGGAAATTTATTCGAGGATCAGGAAGTAATGCACTAGAAGTATCTGAAGCAGTATCGCCGTTGAACAACAATTTAAGAGGAACAGGTGCAATAGATACCCTCATGAACTAATCTTAAATTCTCCATCAATCGTTTTCTTCCTTTCCTTTATGGTATGACATCCAGAATTCTATGTCTAATCCTTCCTTAGATTCCTGATGGATATCATGTTGAAATGCAACATCTTTACTTGCTTGATAAATTCGATGAATTTCAGGTTGATTCTGGGGAATATAAGTGCTGCAGTATTTCTCCCCTCGAATTTGAGATTGTATCGCCCAATCGGTCTCCTGATGGTTGACTTTAAAATCGGGTATGACTATTGGAAGTCCGGATATTCGAGGCTCAGCTGTATCATTATCGAAGGTGCTGCAGATACTGAAGTACAGCATATTCAAACGAAGCATGTTTCGATGTTAATTTCGCAGAATGCCAAATATGATGGGAACAGTTTCCAGTGGAAGGCACTCTGGGTGCCAGGGGGCATCCCCGGGTTCAGGCCCCGTGTCGCCGGTGCGATTGCTGAACGGCCTGGGGCCAGGACCGAACGGTACTAGCACGGCCGGAGAACCCGTCGAGCTGAATGCTATCTTAGGCCAAGCTTCCCCAATCATTACAACGAAACGTGAGCCGCAAGACCTCCGGAACAAGCCCTTGTGTTTGGAAAAGGCATCCGCCGTCACATTGGTGAGCAACCCGGCGGCGGCGCGTCGGCTCTTATCACCGGTGCAGGCCACGTTGGAGGCGGACGAAGACCCTTCGCACGCAGCTTTGTCTACGGTGATATACTCCGAAGGCTACGGGCCTTATGCAGACCACTATGCCATGACGCCGTCTACGTCTGCCGGACGCTTGCAACACTCCGGGGTTCGTCCCTCGGCGTTGGGGTACACAGTGGCGACACCGACTGCGGCGGCTGCGGCGCCGGACGGCTTCAGTTGCTATCGGGATTACTATGCCGGCGCTACGGCGCAGCAGCAGCCGGACTTGTATGGTCTTCGCCATTATGACGTAGCTATTAGCGGCACGCCGATGGTGTCGGTAGTGGACGGTGCGAGTACGGTTTCGGCTGCCGCTACAACTGGATTTGTTGATCGCTACTTGCGACAGAGTGGATATCGGTCCCCCGGGCAGGTTCTCTCTGTGGATTTGCCCTCGCCGGATAGTGGGATCGGAGCTGAGTCCGTAACCCCAAGAGACCATACTGCTGTTCATCAGGTCAGTTACTCTCATGCACTCCGGCTAATGTTACTTCCAGCAGAACTAACACGGACTAGCAATTGGTGGTCGCACTTCACTCGCTCAATCTTTCTTTCCAATCCACCTTCATTCGAAGTCGTTGAATTTTTTTTTTATGAGAGAGTTAACTGGTCATGCTATTAGCGCTACGTAGGCTATTTACAAGCTTTTAATGAAAATATCGTCCAGGAAAACAAAACCTGATGCACAATAGTTTCACTGGATCATGCTGTTCTCTCGTGTACTTCTCGCTTGTTTTCTTCAATTGTTGCGGGAGTGGATGAAATGCCACGTTTTTCACGCAATGCCTCCTCGGTACATGAACTTTCAACGTATCTCGAGGAATGAAAAAGCCCGCTATGTATGTACTGGAAAATTCTTGTCGGAAAAATGTTTTAAATCCAATCCGAAGTCCCGCAATACTAGAAGAACCAATGGGAAGTTCAAGTAAGACAGCAATTCAATCCAGATCAGCCACTGGATATGGGTGATCTCTGCCGGTGGGGGTTTTCCCCCCACTCTGCATTGACGGTTTTTTTTTTTTTTTTTTTTTTTTTTTTTTTTTTTTTTTGTCTTTTTTTTTTTTTTTTTTTTTTTTTTTTTTTTTTTGCTGATACAATTTTCTGGAAAGCTCTTCGCCGGGAATATATTCTTTTTAATTATTTGTTTCATGTCTGGTGAGCTCTCCTGAAAGCAGCGATTTTTAGTGCGTGTATGTGGATCGGAGTTCAGAGAAATTTCAAGTATAAATTATCATTCCTATGATGCCTTTTGTCGATATGATTGTGTTAAAATCATTCAGCTGATTGAGCTCTACTTTGATCTTGGAACAAATTACTTCATGGTTATTTTTGTGCGTTGCGTGTATCGCGACAAGAAAATCGTGCATTTGCAGTAAACGGAGGCTTAGAATAAATTCAAAGCTGCTTGATTTTTCGGTTCTTATTGGAATGAGTTGGCTGAACACATTGACGAGACCCAATTGTATCGCAACTGAAGGTTTCGCACTCGTTGGATACTAAAACATTGGGTGGTTGGTTCGGTTCTATGCTTCGTGATTTCGCGCAGTTACAGAACAAGATGGAATTTCAACCGGATATGAAACCGTTTCACGCTACGCCATCTTCCGGTTATCGCGGCGGTTTGCCGTGGAGTAACGGGCTGACGCCTGGACCGAACTACACTGGCTACATGATTCGCTCTGTACCGAAACCGGCGACGTCAACATTGAGCAACATGACGCCCATCGGGAAGGAACCTGGGCAAGGGGTGGTTTTCCGGAAGCGGGTTAGCTTTCCGCCGCAGCCGAGAGTGTGTATACTAATTTGAGTGGAAGGAGGGATTTTTTCGCATGCTGAGCTTTTTTTTGGGCTGAATGTATGGTGAAGGTGGTGTTGGGCGTTCCTGCAGTTCCAGAAAGTACGTCTGGCTTTCTTACTCAGAGAACATGTTAGTATTCATGTCTTACGATTATGGTTTCCGGCTAGTTACGAAGAACCTTGAATCTTCTATGCTTGACTTGCTCTGAACAAAAATATTGTGTTGTTAAAAAAAGAAAGCAAATCTTGAACGAGTTATGCATGATTTCGATGGTTTCATCTTTCTCTCAATTGCTGCACAAGTACCATGAAGGTTACGAGTGTCAAACAAGCAATCGCAACTTTCATTCTTTCTCATCACGGTTTTAATTGCTTTTTCCCATACTTCGAAGGAGTTTTTCGAGGTTTTCAGAATACTGAATCCGCATTTATCGTGTGGTACTCAGATCTGCCGAGTGGGACTCTACGTACGCATAATAACGACATATACTGTACCTTACTCGAAGCTTGGAATGTTGCAATCGGAGATTTGCTCTGATATTCCTTGCATTTGATGACGGTGCACTGAAAGCGGAACAATGAAATGCTTCCTATTCAGAATTTACTCCCGAAGTCCCGAGCATACTATAGTTCAGGTTGAAGTTTAGTGTAGACGGAAGTTTTGTGAGTAGAAAGTAATGAATATTCTGGAGTGAGTCACCGCTTTTAATTGGATTTAATTTCTGGAAATCTGTTAATCAACTTCAACGGTTTCCAATGGATTACAAAATATTGCCTCAGCGAGTTTCATAATGTGAATTTACAGTGATATTCTGTCCTCGTGTTTTTCTTAGATAAATTTCCTGGATATTAAACTGTTTCTCTTCTCCGTCCTTCAGTCGATCGATTTTGAATTATTTAAATTCATTCCGGCCTTTTTCCCCTATTTGTTATGGATATGTGCAAAATCCAACATCAGTTCACAGCAGATTCACGGTCTTCTTTTGAACTCAATTTATATGATCGTGTGTGTTCGAAGTGTGAGCCGATAACTTGATAGAAAAGAGCAGTAAAAAGTAAATTTCAAACATTCAATGACGCCAGCTTTTTGTTCCGGTTGTGTGGAAATCATGAATGCATTCGAGAAAAGAAAAGATCAGTGATTGAGACATTTTCAGACTTTACAGACTTTGCTCACTAAAATAAAAACGATTTCAATGGGGAATTGAAGAAAAAATCGTGGGATGAAATTTGCGATTGTCCTAATATATTTTTAAAAACTCGAGAGTTGCCCATGAAACACAGGTCGGCAAGAAAGAATTGAATGATTTCAAAAATCGACTTAACGTGACCGCAATATGTGTAATTGTTGATTCATCGAAGGGGCAGTTACCATTCCAGGATTTTGAGTGAAGATTCGTTTCTAAAAATACTGAGTTCATGCTCCAGTTGTTCTGGTTAATTTCAGTTCTTGAAGTGATTCAAGTGAATCGTCTGATTGTCGTTCTAATTGATTTCGACAGTGCTTTGATTATTCGGAAATGGTGTCCGGACAGCTGCTGGGCAGTACTGCGAACGGAACCATTGGCGTGAACGGAATGACGGGAATGGAAGGCCTGGGCATTCGACCCCCACCTATGGGATCCCCACCAGCGAGATCCCGATCATGGCATGAGTTCGGTCGACAAACTGAGGCGGACAAAGTTCAGATACCAAAAATGTGAGTGATGTCGTCCACGTGGTTTCGGATCGTCTTGGACAAACATTTAAATCACTGTATCTGATTTCTCAAAGCAACAAAAGTCACAGCGTTAAGAATTGTTTCATCATAAGAAGATTCAATTCAAGGCTGCCAATGTCACGACGTCGTCCTGAGATTGAGAACGAGCATGAAAGCAGGAAGAAACAGTCGCCGCGTTAAAAATAGTTCAAAATTTGTTGTTCAATGTTTTGAATAATTTATCCTGTGCACAGTATTTAGCTGATCTTGGGTCCTTTGCGACTGTACCACTCGGATCTGAACAGCTGTTCGAGGGGGAAAATTACACAAGCGCAAATGCATGAATTATGACCGGAAAATGTGGACGATAAATGCACAAAAACTGGTGATCCTCCAGAGTATAGAACCAAAAGTTGTCAATGACAGACTTGGTTTAGCTGAATACCTATAATGAGAACTAGCTGTTGAAATATGGAAAGAATATGAAATATGTTTTGGTTTCCCATTATACAGTAAAGTAAATTCTTCTACAGATGTCATCTGAACTCAAGTGCAGCTGTCTTTTTTTATGCAGCAAGTTCGTCTTTATAACATGGTGAACTCGGCATCATTTGCCAGAAAAGTTTGAAATAATTGTGTTGAAAATATTGCGATCGCTTTCTATAATATAGACCATGCAATTCTTGTTTTAAAACGCGGAACTTCATTTTACTTTAAACTGCTTCGGGAAAAGTAGTCGGAGGATGGGCTCAACCAGATGCTGCAATTTCTGCCTTATCGTGTTGTTCGCGAGACCGCGTATGTTTTCATTGGATTTTTTTAATGAAAATCAAAATTGAATAAGAATTCGACGATCAGTGCTGAGCTCCCATTTGGAAGTACAGTATTGTATTCTACAAACTCCGCATACTTTTGGAAGTCAGGATTTTCGATAAACTAAAAGACACCTTTCTTCCTCCTGTGAACTCTTCTGGCGAAGAACCTTTCGTCCTCTTATGTGTGAAACGATTCAATCCAGATGCAGATATGTGGGAAGAAATTTCAATTCGTTTTCGTTTGCAATTTCAATTATATAATTCTGTTCCGCTCATTTCTTATGCCCGACAAAGGATTTTTTTTACCGCATTTAATGGTATGCTTCAGCAAAAGCTTCTATTATTTTCGTTTGAACACTGAAACAATAGTGAGTTACTGATGGAGACCTTCTCTTGTCGAGTACGGTCATTGCGGGGGATTGGGTGAAATTGTCGGAAATATTCTCCATTATCCTGGTAGTTTTTCTCCCTCTTTGGGTGAGGTCGGACTTAACCATTTGAAATGTCATGGCGATTTTCTGAATGCTCACTCGGAGGCGTGTCCATTGAGGTCGGCCTAAGACAGCCCGAGTACTGAACCGAATTGCTGGTAAGAACTCCACCTCCTACTTCACGATATCGCGTGTGGGTTGAATCATCGCCGCGAGTGAGTCTATCATCGTTTCTGAGATTCATCATTTACCCCTGACGCCAAATCAAACTTTCTTTTCACCTCTAAATTGAGTTCCTTGCCCCGCGTTCAAGAACTCAAAAGACTCAAGAATAAGGCTCATCTTGCATCCGCGTACTGTATTTGTTTTTGTTCCACATTTTTTTGGTACAAGAACCCACAGACTCAAGAACCATGAGCTCATCGTGCATCAACCTATTCGCGTTTTTTTTTTTTTTTTGTCTAGACTTGAATAACGCTATTCAACTTTTCTGCGAGCCGTTCATATTCCAAAAAATGATCATATTTTTGTGCGATCTCTGGACTGGAGTTGAAGTCTCTTCAGCATGACTGAAAGCATGCCCCCAGCTCTGAGCCACTCTAGTTCTGTGATCGTGAGAACCTTAGTGGTGATGAACTTCCGAAGCTTCGTGTTAATTCAAGATTTCAAGTACTGTACTGTATTTCCAATGGTACGCGCAGCACAGTTTGATGAGCTTGTTCGAACTACTTGTTTTAAACTGAAACGTCGTTTACCACGCCCTATGCCTGAAGCGGAGTTCAGCAGCTCTAAATTAGATCATTCATTTTTCTTCATCCCTTTTCTTAAGTTTCGAAATTGCCTGCAATTTGTGTGTAATATTATTTTCGATTCCACGATGTATTTGCGAACCCCTGTCAGCCGCTCATGAAATATTACTACTGGTACCGCAGGTTAAATAGCCGTAGTCCACAGGTGGTGCTTGTTTAAAAAAAAAAAAAAGAGAGATAATAACGCGTTCAGCACGTTTGTGTAATCTGTCAAATCGAGGATGAAAAGTTTCTTGTGGGTCTCCAAAGCACTGAAAACTTTACGAAAAACCTTCAACAAAGTTTGAAAGGTCAAGAAAACTTCACTGACGAAGAAAGCCCCGAGTTGATGCTGCATTTGAAATTATGAGTTGTCTTCGGATTATAGGCAGCGTGGAATGTTACTGCGGCACCAAGTTTCATGGGCTATTTCATGGCGTAGTGGCATTTGGTTACTGAAGTTCGAAGCATCACTTGAGCTTTGCGAGTCAGGGTTGCATTAGTGCTAGGAACTAAACTCCTCCCTAAACCAGGGTTCTATAAAGGAATGCATCGCTTGAAGAAAACCCCGAGTACCGTTCAAGAGCCATAATATAAGGTATTATAAAACTCTTTATCCTTTTCCGTGTCCCGGTACTTGACTTTCACTCGACGCTCGTAAGGGTGTCATTTTCTGACATTACATTTCTTCATCGACGAGCTATTCACTCGTCGATGAGCTACGCGAGGGATCATAATTTTCTTTCGAGGGAAGCGGTTTGCGGATCGAAAAATGAGTTGTTGGTGCAAGTCTCATGATGCATGTGGTTGTTCTTCGGATTCGGTGATCCTACAGAGGCAACTTTCTAACGTCAAAGGTTTTAATAGGCAAAGGACAAGGCTGAACTATGTGCTCAAGTCAACTTTATTGACGCTGTCGAATCCTGTCAGGTCACATCCGTTGACGCGTAACTGAATGGTTTCAAACGCGTTCATCCCAGCTTAACCATGCTAGAGTTTTGTTTGGCTTGTCCTTTTTCGATAAGTTAAGTTTTTACGCAGAAATATTTCATCTTTCCTATTTTCGAATGATTTATCTCATGAGTTGAAGCAGAGAAAGTAATGAGTGTGCATTCAATCTCAACAAGGAAAGCTTAAATCTGCCGCATTTTTGTATTTCATTAATTTACGATGATTGAAATGCTACCGTATATTTTACTCAATCGGAAACAGTTGGTGACGATTTCCGCGATTCATGGTCCCTCCATGGAGGTTATTGATCATCTTTTGCCTAGTGATGCTGTATGTGAAGGTAGCCCTGAAATTTCAATTGGCGAGAGTGAGTCCTCAAAGCATGCGCACTGCGATTGAAGTAAATATCTTTGAAAAAAAAAATCAGGATTGTTGATCCCACGGTAGTTTGGTCAAGAATCACTCACGATTTTCGTTCGTCAAATATCTTTTCTATGGTTTGAAAAAACTTTTGGATCGTCTTTTCATTCATACAAGTCACGAATGAATACTTACCCCGCGCTTCTCTTGGTAGAGTCAAAACAAGAATATTTTACTCACATTCTTCAAATTATTTCTTCTCTAAACGCTTCGATATCCGAATGGTCCTGTTTTTCCCGACTTGGCCGTTGGTTGAGGTTTTGGTATTGAATATGACGAAAGCTTGGCACGTAATACGTAGTGATTGATGGCAGAATTCGTCGGCGCTTGTGGGAAATGTGCGAGCAGTTTACGTCCGCATTCCGGAGCACTGGATTGCGACTCTCGTTCAGTAAACCTGTAACTCGAAGCTCCGAACGAATATGAATTTATTCCCTTGAAGATGTAATTTTTATGTTCACCCAATGATCCGACTTAACGAGTGATCGTCGATAATTGTGGTGGCACATGGAAGGAATGAAGGCGATTGGATATTCGCGTGCCAATAATGCGGTTCGACTCAGGGAGGGAAATTCGTAACATTAACGAAGTGGAGGTTGGGAACATTCAAAGCATTTCCGCCGGAGGCGTTTATTTGTAATGATGAGCAACACGCGAGCGATTGAAGTTGAATTTTGCTATGGTGTTGGCTCAATCGAAACATGATATTAAGGCATCTTGCGGAAAGCTTTCCCTTAACGCGAACTATCCCGACATGAACCCTGGATTCATCCCTCATGAGAAAAATCCAATTGCAAAACTCGCCTTCAATAACTCGATCAACGCATGTAATTCATATATAGATCGTGTTATATTCAAAGCGTTTATTCCATCGTCAGTTTTAGGGTCGGCTTGATCCTAGCTCTGGCTGCAGCGATGATTTCGATAAATTAAATGCTCGATAATTTCGTGAGTTCTAGTTTTTCAATGTTGATCTTTCTAGTGTGCAAGGTCATACTAAACCTTGCATGGAAGGGAACTTCATTACAGTACAGGATTTATATTTCTGTTGGTAACTGTTCAATATATACCGCCTGAAGGAAAAAAAATTGCCATTCAATAAAAAGCACTTCAGACGAGTTTCTCCTCGGAAACTCAACAACGCATATTTCTTTCCCGGAATGTTTTTTTGAGAGACAGTTGATCCTGTGAAAAAAAAGAATCCAGTGAGAACTTACGAATGGAAAATCGGGTATCAATCAACTTGTTCGTTCAATTTTAACGTAACTGGAAGGCTCATCAGTTGAAATGAAAGATACAAAGGCGCTTTGAATGGCCTGTTCATTAAGACCCGATGCCTGAAAATGGTGAATGGTCGAAAATATATGTGCAGTACTGTACCGTTATTAACGGATTCAACTTAAATCGGCAATATATGAATTTCATTATGATACGCAAAAAATATTTTTTGTAGCCCGATTAGTGCTGCTTGTTGCAAATATGCCTTTTGGTCGGTGTGTTGACTGCTCATTCTGAGTTCGTTCATGGACGCGCCAACTAAATCCAGGCGGATTCTCTTTATACCCGTACCCGGTTGAGCAAAAACCTCTTTTGCTTTAGCGAGGATATCATTGTTTACGGTTAATCCATAAATACGTTTTCTGTAACCGAGAGGAATTTGCTGTGTGGATAATACTGTACTTCTGTAGGCTGAATATCCATAAATAGAGACCACCTGAGACTGTTCAACATGTTCAACTGAATGCTCCGATACCGTTGAATAATATTATTATTTTCTTTGACTCTGGTAAGGTGCATTTGACTTTGCATGAGTTCTCCTAAGACTAGTCCACGGGACGCGGGGTTGGAGAGAGTGTTACTGTACTTGCAGACGAGGGGCGACCCACGGGCGGGATCTGGATCTATGAATGGTAACGGCGTCGATGTCGACCGGGCCTCGCGTGTGGACGAGTGAAGCATCTGGTTTGCCGTCGAACCAGTTTCTGTTACGAGCGATGCGTAATCCGGGTGTCGTGAAAACCGGGAAACTGGAATCTGTGGACCCTCTATGAAAGCGAGAGCTGAATGAATCAGTGTCGATGGCCAGTGCACTGAACCCTCTCATCCCAGGTTCCTGTTTTCCTTCGCGCGGCTTTTTTTCCTAGCCCGTTTCGGGCGTCGAACCTCGGCAGATTGCCTTGACTTGGTTTCTTTGATTTAGGTTTGTGTGATCGAAGATGTTCTCGGGTCACTTCGTGCAGGACTTTATTAACAGTACAGTATTTTAATAACCCCTATACTATTCAGGGGTTTCCTCCGCATGAAAGCTTTTTCCGCATTTCACTTTTAAACCGATTTCCTGAAACCGCGACGTATACTTGACTTCGAACTCATTATTTTTCATAATTGTTTATTATTCACGTCATCTCGGGTCGTATTTCGCTAAAGTACCGTGAGAAACTGGGGTGTGGTCTATGAGCGTATTATAAATACATTACCGCATTCACTTACGATAGAACTAGTTATTCGGACTAATTGCTACTGCCATTCTCCAAATGACCAAAGATCGTTGAATACTGTTGAAAATTTTTTTTCGGTAGGTAAAATAAATTTTAAAAATCTGACTTCATGAGCACTGTTTTAATCTTCATGCACCTGGGAACATTATCCGGGAGTGTACTGTACTTTTTTTGTCGGTGGGAAATAAGTTGGCTCTATTCAAATTGACACGTATTCAGGGAGATTAGGTCTTTTGCTCGAAGATTGTACATTCGGTCACGCATCAACGTATGCTGAGTCAATGGATGCCCGAATTACGAGCTATAATACATAGGTTTAACCGGATTCTCATCTATGTGGTCAAAACTCAATGTGATGGTAATGTTTGAGGTTAAAGATGTGGCTTTAAAATTCAAGTCACAGTCAAATCGGTTAGTGTCGAGTCGTGCATCTTGTTACACATTAATTTGAATTGTGTATCCGAAACTAATTTGCTGCTTTTTCTGTACTGTACGTACAGCACTTTTTCTATACTGTGCATGGGTTGCTTAGATGTACAATTTTCCAAAATATCAAGACAGTTTCCCCCTCGAATCAGGTCTACAGTTGAACGTCTATGATGAAAGAAACCTGATGTCTATTTTCATGAGTTCTGAGAAATATACTTGCTAAGTTCAATTTCGAGTATGTGAGGATAGGGAGGGGTTTGTTTATTTCAGTAGGCGGGTGTAAAAGGCATATTTTTTATCTAATGACCGCGATTTATTTATTTATTTTGCAGCTACTCGAATTATGGGTTTAGGTATTTCCTGGAGTCTCCGATATCGACCAGTCAGAGGAAGGAGGATGATAGAATCACGTACATAAATAAGGGACAATTCTATGCTGTTACGTTGGAGTACGTACCTGATCCGGAGAACCCTCTCAAATCAACGACCGTTCGGGTAAGTGTATCGCTGATTGATAAGCGATTCATCCACTTGGATGATGGTGCATCACGTGAGGTTGTTCTGATTTTTTTCAGAGCGTCATTGTGTTGGTGTTTCGCGAAGAGAAAACGCCAGAAGACGAGGTGAAATCGTGGCAGTTCTGGCACGGACGACAGCACAACTCGAAGCAGCGAATCTTGGATGTTGGTGAGTGGCTCTTGCCTAATTTCTGAATTTGCATTTTATCGGAAGAATTTTTTATTGTATCCTTGAACTGGGAAGAGTTAGTTTTTGCTTTGGGACGTGAGTTGTCGGTATTTATTTTCATCTTTTCTAGCCAATATAGTTTCGCCTCGCATTTACGATGGCCTTTCATTTCAAAATGCGAAGAGCCCATTGAAAACTGTTTCAAGCTGTCTTAATTTGGTAGTTCATAAATGGATGTAAAAGTTTACTGCTGCGAATGCTTTTCAAGAGTCAAGACTAAGCTCTCGCGAATATTTTTTCCCCGTCGTAATCGCGATTCATTACGGTACTCTTGCAGTGATAAAATACAGCACATGCTTATGAGGAGGCATTCGCATGGATTTAAAAGTTTGCTGATCAACGTTATGCGCTACTTGATTTTTTTTAGATTTACTACGTTGAGGTCAAAGATACTCTTGCCTTGAAATCTTGCAAAGAAGCGAGCATGGATAGCATTTATTCATTTATTTTTACTTTTTTTTTTACTGTAGAGCATTTTTCTTTGTTGCGCAAAGAACCATTGTGTCGCCACTGATTGATCACACTAAAATCGTCCGGTTACAAGAGCTCTTGTGTAGGATCCTTTCTCTTATATTTCCGTACTGTACCATGCATAGTGGTATTCAAAAGTTTAGGTTGCATCGGCTGAGAAATGATTTAATCGTGTGGAGCTCTTGTATAGCTTTGAAAGTTTTAAAATAAATTTTGGATGGTAAATTTAAAAGAAAAGAGATATAAATAATTGAATACCGTGTTCGTGGGATTGAGAAGCTCCTTGATCCGCGTAATTTTCGATTTCCGCATGAGGTACAAAATTCGAGGAAATCGTTGTTTGACTTTTGGAAGGCTTGTTGAGAGGATGGTTTTTGATCGCCGCCCGCGACTCATCTTCACGCCTTTTGTGAGCCCCTTATGGAAAACGCCCGTGCGTGATGAATTCTGCTCATTTCATTACCCAGGGCCGAGGGTTTCGAACCGAGGTTCCTTTCTTCCGTCGATCAGGCGTGGTTCATGCCCAGTACTGTATTGACAGGCTTGTTCTCTTTTATACATTTCATGTGTACCTTCAATTCTCAGGACGCAGCATTCCTTTCGGCTCTCTCGCGATACTGTCTTACGCATTTCGTTGTCGTACTCTACTCCGAGAAATATTTGAATAAAATCCAATAAATATATCGCATACCTGTTAAAAGACTCATACCTGACATAACTCGAATCGTAACAAGAAGAATTTGTTGTTTTACAGCTTTTCTTGCGTCCCGTTGAGTAAGAGACGCGATTGGTCACATGTCGAACGTTTTGTGATGCTTGTTTTTTCGTCCAATGAGTTTGAAATTTGCAATTCGATTTTCGATTCCTTTTTAAATCCTCAATGCGATTTAACACAGTCGTCAACGAAGTAAACGCAACTTAAAGGATAGAGTCGTTCTGGAACCTGGCGTTCATGTTGGCGGTCTTTCAATGCTTCCGTGTTTTACTTTTTCTTCAACCAATAATCCGAGGCTTGGAATGTCCAAGACGTTACGTTTGCATGAGCATTTAACAGATTTGATTTACTAATCCTCACACAAAACGCTTCAAATATTTCGATCCATGGTTTATGTGCTCAGATTGTTCATCGGGCAAAAAAAAAATCTATGCTGAATTTCCGTCTCAAGTTTAAATGGATCCCTTGGAATCGGTATTATTTGAGCTGATGCTGCAAGCACATCAAGTGAAAGAACTGAAATACACCGTCCCGCGAATATAAAAATATTCGGCGCTTTTTTCATTCATCGGCTGGGAGATGCTTGTCTGGCCGGAAGATTGGGAAAACGGCGGGTTGGGCTCAGCGGGTGAGGTATAATGATGATGGAGCTATCGCCTCGTGGTTGACAGTCTTTTATCTTCATTCCGCGACTGGCCGAGTATTATTGGTTTCAAGGGTTATGGGGTGCAGGTGAATGACGTGAATGCGGTTTTCCTCACTCTGTATTTGAGTCGATAGCTCAATTGCAGCCTGGTTGTGTGGGATGAACCTTCGACGATCGAAATTGCTTGCTCATTCGTTAGAAAGAATGTTTCACTGAGAAGTCAGTCCGAGGTCAGTTCGTGTGTCATTTTTTTCTTAATCATCTATCGAAGGTACAAGCTATGCTGAGTTCAGATATTTTCATTTCCAGTGGTATTTACTCATAGAAAATAATGGCTTAATCGCCACCCAAGTCAATATTCTTGGCGGATTTAGAACAAGTAAGAGGGAGTTTATTTCAAGTTCTGATCTTGACGAGCGATGAGCAACGATAACACCCCTCAACTATCGGAACTTCATATCTTGAAGTGGAGAAAAATTATTTTATTCCCTTTTTGGGGGACTTTTTCTCAATTTTTGATCAACAGGAGAACGAATTGAATATATTCCCATTTAAGTCGAAATGAAAATATGATCCGACATGCGGACATCCAGACGTAGGGACAAGGTCCACGCACCAATTACGTCCAAATCTCGGGGCTCCACTGTACTGTGGGGCTGTGACAAATAGATGCTCCGACATGCAATTGATTCAACTTGTGGGCACTAGATTAAAATGATCTTCCCCAACATCCGCATGATGTCTCAAGATATGGACACAGACAAAATTTCCAAAGAAATTGAAAAATTCACATATCTTGAACAAATTAGATACTTTCATGGACGTAAAGTCGAAATGAGTATCATGAAATTGCTTTAATTAATTTTCCAAAACTGTATTTTTGTGTTTTTCTTTGTTGGGGGTTTTTCCATGAACAGTGTGCAGTAAAGCAATATGTTCACTTAATGTTTGCCTTTGGGGCTCCCTACCATTTTATAAAGGTATAAAATGCTTCGTTTTTTTTCAAAGTTATTTTTATTCATTTTGAATATAAGGAAAGCATTCATTGCATTTTTGGAAGACGTTTGCATGACACATTTTATAAAATTAAAGGTTTTCCCATTGAAAGTATGATCTAGCATGCGGATATTACGGCATAACAAGACAATCGGAAGTAGTTGCGTCCGCATTTTGGGGCGCCCTTTTACTATAATTTAATCAAATGTCACTTCTGATTCTAAAAAAAAAAACGAACACGGAAAACAGTCGATGCTTAATGGGCAGCCTTTTACTTCTCGGAATCTTCGATTCTTAGGTAATTTTATATGTAGTACAGTAGTTATTATCTTCATCTTCGCCGAATTCGCCGCGAAGATTCTGTGTCACCGAATCGTATCAATCGTTCACAAACTTTAATTCCGAATTTGTTTAAACTTAGTTTATCCGACATTTCCCTTCATTTTATTTGAAGGAATCGCAGCCGAGACAGTTCTGCATTCAGTTTCAATTTTTGAACCGAAATGTGACGCTTGATATAAAAGTCAACGCGTAGAATTACTGTTAATGCATTGAGCCCTTCGCATGTAAAACCGATAGCGACGATGACTTTGGTCCACTGTACCACAAAACGTGTGATTGCGTCGAAGACCTGAGAAAGATGACAGAAACCCCACGGTTCAAAATTTCAACTGCTTTTCTTCATACGCATCCCCTTCCCGATCGGTGGACGGTGACGCAATTAAGTTCTTCGCTGCGAAAGTGGCTTAATTGAAATGAAACGCTGGAGTTCGGTGCGTTTTGATAATGCTGAGGCAGATTTTTCTGTCCGGCCTTCTGCCTTTCGTGAAGGAGACTATTACTGTATTCGCTAGTCATTTCGAGGTCTCTGGCGATTCATTGACTGAGCCTGTTCGTCGATACAATGTTTAGCCTTCGTTTCGCTCCATTCCTCATCTGAACGATTCGCATACTTGAACTCTTTCTGGATTATGAAGTTATAATTGAATAGAAGTGCATAGCCTTGAACATCCTTCGGCGCGTTGAAGATACGTGTTTTCGGAGAGATACAATTCAATAACGGTGTTCTCTCTCCCAACCAATTTCACGGAAACCCCAAAAAAAGTCTCATCACCTAAAATTGAACCGCAAAACCTAAAAATGATTCGCGATACAGTGCCAAAATTATCGTTGTAGACATATTGTTGTCGATCCGCATCTTTGAAGTATAGCGTGGGATCTACTGCGATCATACTGTCTTGGTTGGATATGGAATATCGCTATTGAAAAAAAGATTTGTCAAAATGTTGAAAACTTCGTTAACCTTCGCGTAGTTCCATATCCGAGAGGGGAAAATAGGACCGCAGCGGAAATATTCAAAAATCGTGAAAACCTCGAAAAAAATAATTCACGGATCCTTGCTCAACGGACTGTTACATAAGGGTTCATGTTGTGCCGTTCGCGTCGCTTCTAGGAATAAGAGTAGAACCCGCTAATTTTTGGAATGCGAAAATGTCCATGTATTTCACATTTATAACAACTTGTTCGAACCTGATATTGCGTCAGAAGACTTCCCGCTTTTATCTGTTTCACCTTAACTTGACTCTGAAGGCGGAAATGAGCCCATATTTTCCAAGTTGCGAATAAATTTCAAGCCTCTCTCGCGTCTCATCCACTTAGGTGATTTTTTTCGTTATTCGAAATTTCCCCTCTCGAACATTTTCATCGAGAGAACCTTCGGGTATTTTTTAACGCCCTTTAGAAAGGTTGTGACCCTAATAGTTCGACTGGCGGACATCTTCGTTAGCCAAGCATGTGAATTCATTAAGAGCTTGGCTCAGAAATTTGAATAAAATCTTCCCTTCTTCGGTGATCTGATCATCAACGCAAGGAAACTCATCAAATGCGGCAGAAATTAAGGTCCGATAACACAGTGAGGGACTCCATGTGATGATTCGTGATCCCTTTCTGGCTGGAATCGAAATTCGTGAGGAGAAAAAAAAAATCGTCGAAATGTATGATCAACCTGATTTGCCGCATTTTGCCGATGTGCTTGTGTTTCTCGCCTGATACGTACTTCTTTAATTTCCTTGTCAATCGTCTGGAATACGTACGTGTGTTTGTTGAAATGTCTCGCGAGTAGAAAAGACGGATTGTCTTGTTCGAGTCCCGATTAAATTAACGGTTCTGGCGACGGAATCAGGAACGCTCTGGAAATAGATGAACGCGTGGTGCGGACACGAGATTCTGAGCCCGTGGCTCTGCTTGGGAGGAATAAATGAGCTTTCCGAACACCGAGCCTGATGTCGCCGCAAGCCGCTAGCTGCCGCCAACGCTTTTCGTGTTATTTTCTTTAAATCCTTGCGGATGCTGGCGATCTGTTGCAATGTCCGTTTATCGGAGAATGTCCTCGGCATGTAGTTAACGCTGATCAGAATGACGTTCCGTCTCCCAAATTAGTCCACCGCGAAGCGTATATACGTACATATCCAGCGAACTGCTACATCAACTTCTCTGGCCCGGCAGCCGACTTCAAATTGGGTTCCCTTTCCATCCGTTCCTTCGCCTTCTTTCTCTCGCTGTCTCTCTCTTGAGAGAGATCTGGTATTCCTGGCATTAATTTTCGTGTCGGTATTTTTTCGGTTTCACGGCAATTTGAGTCGACATTATGACGCTGGGATCGATCAAGCGAAATGACTTGTGGTCGAGCCAGCGCTCGTGACGATGGCCTTCGCGATCGTCCGTCTGCGATGTTGTCCGGAGCTTGGAAAACTTTTTCATGATTACTTTTGCTCATTAGCATCGTAATTTTTTACTTTTTTATTCAAATAGCTAGCTGCGCATTTCATATCCGAACCAAAATGTATCTTTTCCAAGATGCTGCAGCATGTGGCTCTAGATTTTTTTCTTCTAATTTGCAATTTCGGTGACACGAGTGTTCTTACCTCCTCTGAAGACTCACTGCCATCAGTAGTTCACGTATCACAGGTAGAAATCGGGGTTCTTGCCGAGCACCAAATCAATTGGGCGGTGTTCATCAGGCATTCACATTTAGAAGTTGTCGCATTCCGTTTCAACACGCAGTTATCTAAATTCCGGAGGCACAAGAGTAAAGGTACGCAACATCGCTTTTGAATCTTGGGAAAGACTCTATGCTATAGGCCCGCTTACCCTTCATGGTACGGCTGTAAAGAACCTCTTTAGAAGTATCCTGTACTGTAAAGGGGTTCTTCTGCATTGCCGTGCTACCAGCAATTTTTGTTCAATTTTCCTTTTTGCGTTTGATTTTCTTATTTTGGACTCGTTGTCATGCGATTCTTCTCTGTCTCAGGTATACTACAAGGAACAAATTTATAAGCTTCTGTTCCTCCATCGAGAGAAAGCTTTTGCTTTTCTGCGTCGGAAACTCGCCTTTCGCTGGTGGAATGGATTTCGAAAGAAAAGGAAATTTTGAATCCACGGTTCAAATAACGACGCATTAGGAAAAGTCTTTCGAAATGGTGTTGAGCCTTCTGGGTATCCCGTTGGATTGTATGCGAGATGTCAGTCATGTCGAGATTGGGTTCTCTATGAGAGGTACGGAAGTTGAAGGGGGTCAGTATGCGAGTTGTTCCAGTTACATTCGGCTTTGAAGGACTTTCTGGTAGTCGACAGGAAAAACATTCTGAATGTCTTGCACCTACAGGGATATTTAAACATCGCTTCGTTTAATTTAAGAAATGGTCTTTTTTCAAGAGATGGGGAGAAAAAAAAATTTATTGGCTGCATTGACTCTTGATTGGGGAATGACGAGAGTGGGCTTGCGTTCGATGAGCAATCGCGTGAGCCGTGAATCGAGACAAGAGGATTATTCAGCATGATTTTTTGTCCGATAAGTGGTGGTGTCATGCTGGTATCGAGTCGGGTAATTCATCGGACGGCTGCTGTACATGCATGGCGGCGGCATTTACATGCATAATTCGCTCGTGTCAGGCCTGCTTGCATGCTCTTCTTGATGTCGGGGTCCCTATCGAGCGGGCTCATCGGCGATCGCGTGCTTGCCTGAGGCTCACACTGACGTCGATCTTGGCTATTCGGAATTTGCAGCTGTTTTTCTTGCCGGCGTTCTTTATTTATTCTGCCGCGATTACAGTACGTCTGTTATATGAGTTTGTTCTAACTTTGATACAAAATCTTGAATGACTCAAAATTGCCTAGCGCTGATTTCTATCCAATGCTTATTAGCATAACCCTCTCAAATCCAAAATTTTAGATAACCGCATTTACTCATGTACATGAGCCGCACTCATTAAACAAGCGTCCGAAAATTGGGGCGTTGCACATGCTCGAGATAGACTGCAAAAAGAGCTGATTTTGGTAAAATGTATTGTGCCGAAGAAATTTTGAAATGGACAGTTTCACCGATTACATACCCTGTGCGACCTATGCTAGAGATAATATACGTAACATCTGGAAAACATTTTAAATTTACTTGCGGAAATCTTATTTCTCCGCTGTGAGCGCTTCCTCCAATCTATTGTTTGCAGCTCAAAATTATTTCGTAAAATCAAGGTCAACATTCGGTAACGGCATGTACTCGATATGAAGTAGTCGTGTATGCGACATGTGGCTTTTGAATAGGGCTTCTGTGTAGTAGTGTTACGAAAATTGAAAGTAAAGGCAGTTGCAGAGAATTGAGGAAAAAAATCAGAGCTTTTTAATTTCCTCGCTTACTAGCTTATAGCTATTGTAATTAGAGTGAAGTGGCATGTTTTTTAATCCAGCAAACAAGCTGCAAAGTAATCTATGTGAGTTGAAGGGTTCCGTGTACGAGTTACGAGGGCTCAAAATGAGCAATAAATTCTCTAATGCAGAACTTCCAAGCAGTGGAAAGTAACATAGACAATTTTATATAAATTATTAATGGGCTGGTTGAAATCACAGACGTAAATAATTTTCTTTAGCGTAAATCGTGACTGCTGACGAAATGTTCAAGAGATGTACCTTTTTTTCAAGGTGGTACTTCTCTGTCTGAGCAGAAACTGTAACTTCAATGTCGCAGTCGCTTTGTATTTATAACTAGAACATTGAGGGAAGAATTGACTTAATCGGCATTTTTATTCGTGCGGACCCCTGAAATTTTCGAAGCATCTGTTATGGGTTTGATAGCTAATCACTTGTGGATGGTAGGGACATCCAGTCCTAATCTGTGTCGGATGGCTTAGCTTTCGCATAGCGTAGTTCTTGTCGGCGGAAATAGGGCCGAATTATTCGAATGTTTTCAGTCGTTTGATTGAGTAGTGAATTTGGCGTTGTTGAATGAGAGCTCGTTGCGATGCGCGCTACCGATTGCCGCGTTGGCGTCGCAGGCGTGAGAAAGCGTCTTGTTGCGCGTTCGAAACTCTCGAGGAATGACGGATCCGATGAGGAATTCAATTCCGAAAGGCGACTCGCGATTGGCATTCAGACGTCCGGCATCGCTGCGATTTTTCACTCGTCACTGACAACGCTCCCAGTCCAGCTGGGGTCACGAGTGGATCGCTGCTCATTTGAATAACTTGTGTTTTGAATTTGATGATCTAAAAATTCCTAATTGCTCAGTGGGTGTCTCGGAAGACGAGGCCACGTTTCTTCGGACGATCGCATATTCCGCCTCGAATGCGGCGGCGATTCATTTGTTTACCTTCACCTGTGTGCCTTTTTTTTTCTTTTTTTTGTGCCGCGGATGCCAAATCGACGATCCCGGAAGTATTTCCCACGCTTCCAGCCCACGAATCGACCGGCTTTCCCGGAGAATCCTTGACCCTAAACGATCAATGACGTTTTTATCACCTCAATTGTTATTCTTGCCTGAAGGTTCCTTAGTCGCATTTCGTCTCAAAGTACGATTATCCAATTACGAACCCTAATTAGCGCAACACGAGGATACAATTACGTGCTGCTAATCATTTCACGTTTTCCTTCGTTGAGGAAAAATTCATTCTCGAAACCCATGACGGAAAATCTTGGTGGGAAGTTGGAACCAAACCGGAAAATTTCCGAGGATTCTCGCCATTTCGTGTAGCTGCGTTTTTTGCAGTCACTCGAATCAAGAAATTAGAAAGATTGCAATCAATTATTGTTGATCTTGAATGTTGGATCATCCTTGCCAAACCTGTTTTGGAAGCATTTCTCTCCGAGAGAAGAAATTGATCAGAAAAATGCAATGTATCTTTACTTGGCACTGTTTGCTGAGATATCATGAAAATGGAGCAGCTTCCAGAAGCAGCTTCTTTATTATGAGTTATAATCTTTTTTGTTCGTTTAATACTGGATCGAAATTGGGAATTTGTTCCCTGGGGTATTGTTGAGATGGGGAACGGTAGGAGTCAATGCATGCCATACGTTTTTGTCCGTTCTTGACATTTTTAGTTAATTGAAAAACGGAAATCTTGATGGTTGGGGTTAAAAATTTGAAAAATTTGTTCCTCTGGTATTTGTCATTGGTTTGTGTGCCGTACTCGAATTTCATTCGAATACTGCTGCGAGCCACTGAGCTCTGAATCCTAAAAAGGCGACTCACAAAATGTCCCTCACTGTGTTATCGGACCTTAATTACTTGAACTCTTCCTTTTATTGCAGATACGAAGAACAGCATCGGTATTTTGAATATGGGTGTACGGGAACTGGCACATAATGCTGTTTCCTTCTTCTGGAACCCGTTGGATGGACCCGCGAAAGTGAGTAATTTTCGAACGACCTCTCCTAACTCGACTCAGGTTACCGAAGCAAGTTTCGTTTCGGATCGAAAGCTACGGTTTCAGGCCGAATGAGAAGTAACTAGGTGCTTTTAGGAAGTGTTCAAATTTTTTAAATCATCAGCGGAACTTATGAATGGTCGTTTGTTCCTGAATTGTCGGGCTGAAACGCAGTAATCGGGGTAAAATACTTCGTGTTTGGATTAGTTTCAAGATAAATTTCACAGCTTCATCACAAACTCGAGTGCTATAAAATCTGTAGAAAATTCGATGAGGAATTTTTGTTTGCTACTAAGGTTTTGACGGGTGTGCTTAACTAAGTATTACTTAGAACGGCACGAAATCGGCGGTGGCTGTCGTGGACCGTTCAGTTCAAGCACCGCCATTCGTCGTAATTGTGTGCATCGCTTAACCAGAGTAATTATTCCGTTTTAAGACCTGTTGAGGTACTGAGGTTGTATTTATCCTACCCCAACCATTAGCTCATCATCTGCCGGACATCCGTGACCAGGGTGCCTCCGAATTATTGATCGTTTACATAACTTATATCGAGTCTGTTTTTCTCTGCGTCACGTCAATTAAATTTATAACTATCCTTCGCTGCACTTGAATGATTGTTTTCTTCTGGTTCATTAATCGTCATGAATGTTATCTGTGATCATCGAAACTAAACGAAATTATTTTTCCTAGATCAACATCGCGGTACAATGTCTGAGCACTGATTTCAGTACGCAAAAAGGAGTCAAAGTGAGTGAAGGAATGAAACCTGCGTTGCAAGGACTGATGATTTAATAAGCCCTTGTTGTTTACCCCTCCGTGTCATAGGGCTTGCCGCTGCACGTTCAGATCGACACGTACGAGGACCCGTCCAGTTCCGTCGTGACGCATCGCGGCTACTGTCAAATCAAGATCTTCTGTGATAAGGTAGCGTATAACATTGACCCAATATCCCCTTCGATCGCGATCGTGCCTCTCTCCCTTTCGGAAGATGATGAATCTTTTCGTATAAAAGCTTAGTGAATCGTCGCGAGGTTCGGAATGGCAGCGAGTCATTCGAGGCGGCAATTAAAAACGGCGAGTGATTTGCTTCGCGCATGCGTGAGCCATGAGAACCCTTGGTGTTCCGAGACGGGGCTCATTAATGCGTATCATGGCGCCAGCTCGGGATGCGATAATCCCGGAGATCATCTCTTTGCCTGGTTATAGGTATTGATCCTTTGCGTATGCGGTGTAGAAGCACTTGCCATCCTCTTCGGAATGAGTTTGTTACGAATCTCGCATTCTTCATGGGAGAGGTTCGAAAAGAATACCGCGGAGTTTTAATGGGCGAGACTTGAAATTCCCACGTGATCTCCTGCTATCGCGCCATTCAACTTCTTTGCTTCCATTCCCAACGGAGTATTGAAAAAAGGGTCGTCACGATAGCATGCGACACCTTGGTTAATGCCAGAAAGAAATAGATGCTCTGGAACAAGAAGTTGCAATTTTCCTGGAGAGAAAGCAGGAATCATTCCAAGACTTGCTGTAGGCTTAAGGGGCTCCTGCGTGTAATTTACAATTTTACAGTGTTTGCGAATAGGCTCCGTCGTATAGATGAACGTAAAAATGGCTATTGAGAAAAAGTGAAAAATTAATATTTGCTAATCTTAAGATGAGATCAGTATAAAAAAGCTTCTTTTTGGCTAGTCTTCTTGAAAAACCTACGTCGCGTCCCAGTGTACCACTGGAAGCCTTCGATTATGGCTGTGCGTGTTACCACGGTTTGTTGTCTCACTAAATCGTATCATCTTCTTGTCTGACGCGGAGTATTTTCAAATAGAAGTTAAACTTTCTGCAGTTCGTTTTCCAAAATCTGCACCGTCGTGCTCTCTCCCCTTCTTAGCGTATTAATTATCCGTTGGACACAGAATTCGATCTAAAAATTCTTGCGAGTCGTTCGCTGTCCGGATTGTCTTTCGCTGAAGGCTGTTAGCCAGTCGAATTTTATGCTTTTTGAGTGAATCAGATTGTGACTGATGGCTGATCCATCCGTTTCTGAGTGTATTCAATCGTGGACCTCCGGCTTGTCTGATATAAACCTGGTAAACTCTTTATTTTTGTCGAATGCGGAGAACGGATCCTGTCGTGGAGCTTAACGATGGCTGCAACCTCTTGTTGAACTCATTTCTCATAATGGGAGTCGTAAAAGTCCTCTGTACTATCGTTATTTATGAGTGGAAGGCCCGCTGGGTCACCAGAAATCAATCTGATCCTCGGATCTATTGCAAGAAGCGACGCGTACCTTCATAATTGGGCCATTGCGTTTCGTTTCGGAATTTATAATTGCCTCTCTGGCAACTGCTATCTGTCATTTGACTTCTTCTCACGGTGATCAGATGTGAGTATCTGCGTTCATGTAATCCATATGCACGAAATTCCTTTTCCGCTTTTCGTTAGCAACGCCGCAATCAACCGTCAAGATCGTTCGAATTTCTCGTAAGTCCAAAACTTCGTACCGCATTTACGCGAGCACCAGCGTGTAAGACAGCGCACTTGCATTTTTTACTCAAGATTTTAAGAAAAATCAACATCCGTGGGTGTAACCCGCACCCTGATAATCAGGAAATAATGCCAGGAAAATGTGTGAATTTAAGCGCAAATAAACTTTTTCAATTGCTTTTTCCCTCAATTTTTTTGCTATTCCTCCTTGTCACAGGGAAAGCTATGGTTAAACAAATTTAGCTTCTAAGATATTACATGGCGCACCCAAAATCTTTTAATGAAATCTTTCAATCAAACCATAACGCGCCCTCCATATTTGCTTCGACAGTTTTCAAGAAAAATGTGCGCATGCTACTCAAATAAATACAGAATAAGTGGTCGGATAGTGTTTTCAGAGATTTTTAATGCATCAGCCTAATTTTTGAAGAAAATGAACCATCCAAGCATTTTTCCCTACGTATTACGTTCTATTATTTACCATAAAAGATTCGATCGTTCGAAAAGGGAAGATGTATTCGGGTGCTCGAATACGGTTGTGGCAAACAGTATTATTTGAAAAACCTGTGTAGAGTGCTGAAGATTGCGACGATGACTATGCCTAAGGCTCGAGAATCTAATTAATCTGGATTCTAGAGCCGAGATCCTAGACATTAGGCGAAGCCGAAAGAAATGTCAGGATGTGTTGTATTTGTTATCGATTCGCTTATCTTAATCCCCATTGTCACAACATTTTTGCGACTCATATAAAAGTGCACTGTCTCCAGTGTGAAAAAAAAATAGACCGCTTTAATATATCCCCCGAACATTTGAAAGGTTCATCAGGACTTCGAATATACTATTGAAAGCCAAATTCAACTTCGTTCTTTTCTATTTCAAAAAAGTCTGTGCATAGATCTGCATTAATTTCAATTATATTGTCACACATTATATTTTGAAAAATTTAACTTCGATTACGAAGTTCAGCTGATACTCAGTTGATGCCTTCGTTTCATTTCGATGTCCTAATACATAATTTTCTCAAATTATTTATCATAACAGGCTTGCTATTTATGTGTAAGCAGTTCCTCCACGTACAGTATATCTCTTGGGAAAAAAATGTGCGCCTTTTTCTCGTGATATTCAGACTTGGAGTAAAATAATTTTGTGACATTTCAGCATCAGAGAAGCATGGTTTGTGCACATTTTGTGGTTTCTAGGATACTTTACTGGGGGTTCTTCAGTCCAGCATGTACCCCACTGTTCCCTTCGATTGCTTTTACATAGCGCACATTTCGTTGGTATACTGAACTGCGTGTATGGAAGCGGAGTTCTTCACTATTTGACTGCGGGATCCGCTTTTATAGCCATCGATAAATTCCTTGATCCTAAAACTCGACCCTGCAGCCCTATTTCTGCTAAATTTATTTCATACGAGTATTTTTTTTTTTGGGTGGAGAAATCTCGGAACACCTGGGATGAAGTGCGCGTTCATGGGGCTCCGCGGAGCACAGATTGAGAACCTCTAATGTGGGGTCGTATATGATGATTTCTCACTCCATGGCATGTTACTGGGTAACTTGCTTTGAAGCACGGATGAGATTGCCAGTGGTGTACAGCCCGAGAGTCTAAAGAACGGAGGCGATCTCGAAACCAGCGCCTTGACAAGCTTTCAGAAAAAGTCTCGTTCGGGAGAGTGATTAATGCAGCGTAGGGGAAAAAGGGTTTCCCGCAGCCTATTGCTGTCGTCCATAATTATTCCGCTGCTGCGTGCTGTTCACGCGGTCGTTGCGTCGCGTTTATTATCTCGGATTCGTCCTTCGACGGCGATCTGGCCTGTCGTTCGACATCTCTTGTTAGCGCGAATCTTCGCCAGATGAATCCTCGCGGCAATCCCCAAGTATTTTCTCTGTCAGTGGAAATAATTATATGGTCCCGTTTCGTTTCTCATTAACGACTGTCTTTATGAATGTCCGCGTACGTGGCGAGGGTCCAGGAAGATTAATGAAACGAGGCGGTAGCGAGTCTCGTTAAGACAGGTACTGAAGTCGACTGATCTCCGCGATTTTAATGTTTTCATGGGTCACCGGACTTTCTGAAATCTTGAATTTTTTTTAACGCGGAGAATTAAGCGAATTTTCTTCAACATATGTCGTACGTTTTGATTGTTCTCACGGTGTCGGGAGGAAGAGCTGGGAGAGTCCGGAGAGAAAACGCAGGGGTGGAGAAAATTCCTCGTACATTATAGAAGAAAATAACATGAGACAAGATACGGTTAAACATTTTTGTAGTATCCTTGTCTTGCTTAAATACGTAGTCAAGGTCATTTGCTTTTCTGTCGTACTGCTTTTCATGTATGCAAGGCACATTTTCTTCGTTGCGTTTCCTCCAGATATTTTGAGATACTGTAATAGTATCCGATATACAGGAAACAGCAAATACCGTTACAAGAACTTTCACAGTAACTCTCGAATCTCGACAGAAAATGCAAAGAGATCATGTTGAGCATATGCATTATAACATCATATATTTATAACATGTCTCGTTGTAAAACTTCCAAATTTTAATCTTCTTTGAATTTCAAAAAGATTCTCAAGGTAAACATTTCCTGACTAAGGCAGTCAGTCAGAAATTTCTGATCCCAAATGGTACTGACTGGTTCTTGTAGCGTGGATGAAAGCTGTAATCAATGGACATGCTTTCAAGTGGTTCCACACATCTATGTCCCAGAGAAAAGAGATTTTCACATCATCCTCTCAGAATCAGGAGATTGTTCCAACTGATAGAATGCATGATTGAAGCTAATTGTTTTTTTCCCAGAAGATCACTGTTTTTAAGTCAATAATAAAGATAATGCCAGGAAAGTAAGATATTATTGATTATACGCAAGTCAGATGTGAATTTTTTAAGCCATTAATTTTGAAAATCTCAAATTATTCAGTACTGTGTATAACGGAACTTTTTTTTAAAGTCCCCAAACTTTTTTGTAACGATATTCTACCGTAGTTATTCTGTGGGATGTTTTCGTCTTCTTAGATCGTTTTTTCCCAGCGTCGTTTCTCCCGAGTCATTTTAGCGGTCTTTTATCCCCCTCCCCTGTTTATTTAAGGCTTTTTATCTCCCTAAATTTATTTACTAGTACAGCATGGACTTCCATGATGAGGGAATGCTGCAAAAATGTTCGGTTTTCTTCTGGATTCATTCCAATTTGTGATCTAGATCAGTTGAGGGTTTCCGTGAATCACGAAATTATTTTTTCGATCGAAGGGTGCTGAGCGAAAGACGCGGGACGAGGAACGCAAGGCGAACAAGAAAAAACTGCTGGCTGCTGCCGGCCGGAAGAAGATTGAAGATCACGGCCATCCTCCTTGCGAACGATCGGAGTTTTATGGAATGCAGAATACGACGAAACAACCTGTAATGTTTACGCCATCTGAAGACGTGGAGGAGGTAAATATTTTGTTATTCCCTCACAAATAATTGTAGAAGTATTCTGAGCATTCGATGCTAAGCCTTATGGCCCAGCAGACTTTTTTTCTTTTCTCATCAATACAGTACTATGCAGTCTATGCTATCGTTCACGTGATTTTTGCTGCTGAGATGGAGGAAAAATGGAAGTCTTGGTCCTGATTTTCAGCTATAGAATTTGGGGAACAATTTGTAACAGGGTGTGTGTTGAAAGGATGAGAACAGGAAGAGGAATAATCTGGCTGCTCAAGCTAGGTCGATTTTTCGTCATCGTGGGAAATGAGAGGCGACTGGTGGGAGAAAAATTTGTTCAATTTAAAGCGAGGAAAGGTCAGTGTCGTTAGTCGGGCGAGAATGATTGTCGCCATGAGCCGGCGATGTCGGAAATCACGGCTGATGAAGTCTTCTGTGGTAACTGGAGCGTCTCCGACCGCGTTTTGTCTCAGGAATGTTTCCCACTGGATTTTAACGGGTTCGATTTTTCTCACCTGCGTGCCTGGCTTGCAAAGTGGCATGTTAGTTGTTGGCCTCTGGCGTGTGAATTGCCGAAGGTAACGCTGCGGAAATTTCTTTGCTGATCTCTTTCCAGACGACTTCCATGGAGTTCCAAACATTCTACGGGCAGCCGGCATCGAACGCCGAGGACGTGGTGTGAGTGATTCGAATGACTCTTTTTGTTTCTATTGATTCTTACTTTTGATTGACGGCGCGTGATGCGTTCATCATTCCGACTTTCTCGGCTTTTCTGATTTGTCGAAAACACTTGATATTTTCCCTTTCGGAATGACGAACATTTTACCAATCTAAACGCATGATAATGTTCTCTTGGACGGACTCCCGATTTTTTTTTTTTTTTTTTTTTTCCCCTCGCTTCATTTATTGTTTCTTACACATTGATGAATAACCTCGATCAACGTCTACGAATGAATATACTGTATGTCAGGGATGCTTGTATTTGCGATCCATCTTTTACTTATGATACACGTAAACTTTCATGCTTCTGAGAAGCGCGTCATTTTCTGACGGAACCCCAACTAACAAGCTTCTTATTGGGTCTCGTGTTTTCTTATTGGTCTCGCTCGCTTATCCGAATTAAGTTTTGTCCCATTTCCACCGATATTCGATTGAAAATGCCTTTTAATTCTTACGCGTGGACGAGTTCGTCCTAGCGAAGCATTCAACGATTTCTTGCGACGAGTGTAATCCGCAGCCCTATCTTATTCGCAATGAAGTATTACTTGCACTATTTTATATTCGAGAATTCAACTGAACAGCTTCCCTTTTTTCTAGGGTCTCAGAACGAGAAATATCAATACTTTACGCTTCGTAAGAATTTTAGAAAGAAGTGTTGCCCTGTGGTGAACAAGGTGAAAGTAAGGTTGTTCGGTTTCCACGCGATGGAGGAGAATGTCTACAAATTTCCTTCAGAAAAAAAATATTAAAAAAAAATTCAATATTCTGACATAATTTCAAATGCTGGTACAGCAGTACACAATTTTTTCGCCCTACAATAGTTGCCATTCATTTCGCTGGAAATCATGAAAAACATATCTGAAGTCTAAGAATCAATGAATTTGGAGAACGAAACTGCGTCCTAAATTTTCTCCTGGTTTTAAAGTGTTGGTGAAAATTTCATTTTTATTTGGAGGATTAAACAAGATAGTCCACATGCTTCATATGATTTTGACGCATACTAATGCTTCAGTTTCCAGTTGAATGACATGGTCTGCGTGGAAGCCAGACAACCATTGCGTTGTTTTACATCTATGATTTGAAGAACAATGCTGTACAAGTGTACATTAACTATATAAGGCATTTAGTGTCGTTGAGAAGAATTGACCGTTGAAGCCGGATGTGAGGAGTTGAAATGCTTGTTTGAATCTCAGCCAGGGTTCTTCTACGCTTGTCACCTGCGCTTTTGTTTTCAACGTGTTTTGCGTCGTTTTGGCAGCGTGAAACGGGAGCATTCGGAGTCGTCGAACGGGGCACACGAGGTTGGCGCCGGTATGACAGGCCTGGACGTGATCTTGGACGTGGCCGGAGCACCGACACCCCACTCTGCACTGGGCCAGCACCCGATGACGATCAGTGTCCCACCGCCGACGAAGCGGGCCAAGTTGAGCCCGTCGCCGTCGGATCGCCTCATGTTGTACGTGAGGCAAGATGGTGAGGATGCGTATACGCCTTTGCATCTCTGTCCACCCACCTTGGTTGGACTGCTCAACGCCGTAAGTGGTTCTGGCTTTCGCTTTTTCTAATCGCAACTCTCACCAGTCTGCCCTCGTTGACGAAATCACCTACCTGCATTGCGCTTCTGCTAAAACTTTCAACTGTAAATCTACAAGTACAGTTGAACCTTAGTTATCCGGGCTTTGATACATTTTGTTCAAGTTTTGAGCCACGGAGAGATAATACAGCGGCTTTGTTATGCATCACTGAACGAGGATTTTCCGCTGATTGTCCATTATTTGATCTTCTTGGCCAAGGTTCTCGTTTTTGGATTGGAATGTAGCTGCCGTGATTTTTATTTTCTGATTGCTCAACTGGTTTGTTTTCGTATTTTCGGTCTAATTTCGATTGTTTAATTATCTCAGCAAATTAACCTGGCCATTTCTCGAATGCTGTGATAGTCAAGGGTTTTCTATTTAAGAATTTCACTGTAGAGTACTGTATTCGGAAAATAATTCGCTGTCCTCCCTGATATTTTTTATTTATTTGTACTGAGTTTTAATCCCGTGCGATGGGTTATATTCAGCCCTTGAAAGAGCTCAACTAATGCAAATGAAGTCCTGAATGTACTGTATGCGAAGAGCTACGCTTGAAAGAGTTTTTTGTCACGAGGTTGGGCTGGTTAATCACTTGATTTTCCTGCGTACTACTACGGTATTTCGCTACGGCGCTCCAGTAGGAAAACAATTTAGGGAGTGCCTTGTACATGCAAACGTCGGTGGAGGTTTCGCGTTTGGTAATGGTTAACTCGAATGAATCGCGGACAGTTTCTTCGAAAGTTCCTGAAAATACTTCTTGATTTCAGCATGAGTTCGTGAAATCATGGAATTTATACTGTACTTTTGTATAACTCAACTTCGGCGTCTTTCAGACCGCCTTGGTGTTGTTTTCACTGTTTTAGTTTGATTTCCTGGTGATTTGGGCTCATATACAGTACTTGGCCTAGTCGATGTATGGAAATATCGCGAGGCGTCCTTCTAGAAATCCAATGGGTGGGAAAAATCCTGTGAATTGTCGAATTTTGAAGCTCGCAGGCGTCCTTGAAAGGTTAGCAGCGTGTATAGGGATATGACGGCATTATTTGAAGTTCCATTTGCGCGATTTTCCGCAGTGAATGTATTTGTTCTGGAATCGGTTTAGTTGAACCAATATCAGTTTTTGAGTCTAGATGGGCAATGCAGTATTTTCGAAAGCATACAGGTTAAGGATTCTGCTTGGATCATACGGAGACAAATGTGAATAAATTGGAAAATTGATCGAGATTTTGTCGGAGCATTCGCAAAAATTTACGTCCTGTTGATTTTTGTGAGAATTCGTGTTTTATTGAGTGATCTCAAATTTCCAAGTTCGCAGGATGATCTCTCTAATTTATAGTACTTAAACGGAAATTTTAATGTCATTATCATGAAACTAAGAATATGCTCACGATAATATCTTCTTGGAGAAATGTTCGAGTTGACGTTACGTTTATTATAATAAGAGTTCACTTGGAGTTTTTTGTGATGAAAGAATTTTTAAGTTGAGAAAGTTATATCTTGCAAGTGCTATGCTCAGAAATATTCTTTTAACACGAAGTCCTTTAGTAGACACCTCCATAATGATTTTTACCATGGTACTGTACCTGAATCACTCGTAGAGGACACTTTTTTCCTTTACAAACATACTTTGAAATTTGGTTGTGTCTCGTGATCCACGGCGTCTTCAAGTGGAACGCCTTCCTGGGGTCGCGTATGACAAAATTATAATTTTCAAAATGCAAAGAAATCTACAATTTAAGCGACGAATCTTAGCATATTTTGCTCAAGGGCGTTTGTCAGAAGCCTGACTTCTTATCGGAATGTCGTGCAGCTTACTCTAGGGCAAGAAGAATTGGTGGATTTAATTGATGTTGAAGACGTCGAATTTCAGGCACAAGTGCATGTCTTTTCTTCGAGAATGTATTTCTCCTTTTTGAGGCACGAAAGAAGAAACTCGCCTTAAAAAGGATTTCTTATATTCGAGTTGATGCCACATCTTCTTGTTCTCATGATACAGTCAGAAGAGTGTTCTCTGTGCCGAACAGGTTCATAGTCATTTCTGGGATGGTACAGAATACTGGAGTAGATGAATGTGTATCGGTGGGGAGTGACGACGCCCCCGAAGAACGCGATTAAAATAACTCCACACTCGCGAAGTTATGAAGAACGCTTGACTTGGAATTCCTTGTGGAAAGGCGCTTCTGGGATTTTCGGGTGGAACCACGATCTGTCAGCGGGTTTCGCATGCGCTCGTCGGAACGGCGTCATCGATTCATTTATCCTTTTTCTTCCCACTCTTGCTTCGGGAATTCTTTTGCGTGTTTCATTTCTGGGTAGAGTGAATGTGGAATCATCGTAATTTACTAGTGTGCCATCTTTTCGAGGGGAAAAGTTTACAGATGTAGAAAATATCTGACTGCGTTTCCGAAGGTAAAATTAGAAACGACGATAAATCCCTGGAAAACGTAGTTTCGTCTTCTTTTGCGGCTGCTCTTTTTACACTTCAGCTGAGCTGTTCAGGCCGTTTAGGCACTTCAGGGTATATGAAAGATTTTCGAGGTACTGATTTGACGTTGTAAACGTGTACTGTGCTTTTTCTTCCCCAATTACGAGCTTTTGATTTTCTATTTCCCCCAAAAAGAACTTGGACTGACTTTCGGAGTAGGCCTTATTTTCTGTCAAAGAAAATATATGGAAAGTTTGAATTATGATCTTATTTTCCGCTTAGAATGTTCGTAAGTTAAGGATCTCTGCCAAGTCTTGGATCCTGTGTTGAGTGAATATCAGTAACCTAGTAATTTTAAATCAAAAGTGATGGGATTTGGAGGAAGAAAAAAATCATAAGGAGGAAATCGAGTAGGGATCATGCAGAAAGATGGAATAATTTATTTAGTGTGAGGCTAACTGTATTCGCAGCAATATATGCCTGTAAATAATGGTAGGGTTAAATGACCGGTTGCTGTGCTTTTGAAGAAAATTTCTTACGGATATGGGGACACTTCATGTCGGAGCATTAATCTGAAAGATCCACCGTTTTGATACTCCCGAGGCTGTGCAATTTCCGAAAATTCGCCAGCTGCATATTTCCTATCCTTCTAGAGAAATATGACGTCGACTTTTTTTTCAATCTACGGAGCAATCGATTGTAAGAGGTACCGCTAGTTTTTTTTTTTTTTGTTAGAACCTGGGAAGTTTCTTCGTTGCATTAGCTTTATTCTGAAGCGGAGTTTAATTACGCTCAGATTTCTGTTCCGAGTGGAATTTCTTGGAAAGCGTCCGACGTAAATCAAGTTCTTCACTCCAGATCCGTGGAACTGAAATAGTAATCAAATATTTGTGCAAATGACATCGAGACCATTTTTTTCTCTCGGAAGATTGGGCCTTTTGTTGCGTCCTGTTGTAAGACACCATCAGCACAAGCTATTCAAGACGCCACCAAAAAATGGAAAACGCAATTTTTAAAACCGTTATGTTGTCGGGAAAAGAATCATCTTGCATTAGACCTAGTAAGGATGGTCATGCGTACTCGCGACGATACTCATCGCCTAATGGCGATCCTTTGCAGCTGCGCTTCGTGAGCATTATCACGAGTGGACTGTTGGAGGTATACGAGCGTCGAGTTGCGTTGCCCTGAACTCCTCACGTCCGGAAGGGCGCTGAGATTCCCTCACGGATGAGGCTGCAGCGTGAGAGTTTACGAGGCGTTTGAGGCATGCGCGGAACGAGGACGTGAATGTCTTGCGCGGCGAGCAGGTCGGGGTTCGTGAGGCGCGAGGATCGCAGTTCGCCTACGAGACACTTCCCACGTGGCTTATGGCGATGGCGAGGGTCCGAACATTGATCCTCTTGTAATGACGATGGGTTTCCTTGCGTATTTTTCCCCCCAACAAGGTCCGGGAATTGACCATTTGGCATAATTTATCCATTATTGTACCACATGTACTTTTTATTCTGTCCATGTAGAATCCCGGTTTAAAGAGCCTTTCGACCTGATGAATACACGAGTGCACTAAAATTGCGATCGCCTATAGCTACGGTCGAGTTTTCGTCGAATTCAGCATGTTTCTATAATGTTTCCTATCGTTCATTGATTTTTTTTCCCGGACCTACGAGCTTTAAATCCGGATGGGATTTGTAGTTTTAATCATAAATGGTACTGTGCTTGCAGTTTCAATATACAAGCGGACTCTCTTCAACGATCTTGTCTGCAACAATGTTCTCTGCGTGTACAACGACTTTCTGTTTGGTCCCATAGGGTTTCTCCCCAAGGCTCTCTATAAAGAATTTTTCTGGTTCCTCGAATTTGTTATAGAGTGTCCACCTGTGCTTAACTCAACCAGCGTTCAATCTTTCAAAAATTGTGTTATCCTATACCCTTGATTTCGATTTCAGTATTCCGAATACGTTGAGTTTCAGTAGACAATGTTGAATGCAGTGTTGAGAAAAGATTTGTGATGGACGATTTTATGTGCGTCTTACTTGGGTACCGAGTTGATCACAGAAATCGGAATAACAAAACACTTAGTTATGCAGTAAGTACAGCTGTACTGGCAAATTTTGTTCGGAATGACATGATGGGGCTTTCATTGGGGTTCAGCTTGAGCCTTTTTAGGTTTATTGGTTTTTTGTAATTTGAAAGTCTGGAATACTCGTTATGCATGCAAGAACTTGGTATTTGATGCATGACGCAGACATGAATTGTTGTCGATGAAACCATGTGCTCCTGACGCTCTGGTGTGTGAGAAACGAACGAATTCTTGACCCATTTTAAACCTTAAGATCCGTGTTCCACTATCTTTTGAATACTTCTGAAGAAATCCCGACAGCGAAGAAGCTTGTGAAGTTTTCCGAAAATTTCAGAAAAACTTTTCACACCTTCAAGATAATCAAGTTTTAATTTTATGGATTCATCCAATGATTTTTCAGTATCTTACCGTGTATATCTCATGAAAATTTCAGTGGTTTGCCATTCGTGTTCTGGGAATGTGGTACAGTACTGGAAACACTTGAAGATGTTTCGTCTTCAAGACTAGGAAGCGAATCTGTCCAGGGATAAATCTGCGGGAGTATCGCATTGTATGCGTGGAAGTTTTCCCTTTGAGACTTCGTGATTCGTGACCATCGGATTCGATGTCGTGAAGTAGTAAAATTCAGGAATGCGTCTTCTGGACCACACTAAGCCCGCGAATTAATTTTTCTGGAGTCCGCCGGAAGCGTGACTATTAGCTGCGAATCGGAGACAAACGCTAGCAGAGACTTTGCCAGCTAAAAGAGTTTTGGGTAGAAGACCTTAGCTTTAGTTGAACTTTTTCGCAGATTTACATGATGGATAGTAAAGCATTATTTGCCGTGAGCAATTGTGGCACGATTTAACCTTCTGTGTTTCTTTGCCTGATGTTACGCTTCTACGTTTCGAAGGTGCCGGCACCTCCTTAAGAAATTTATTTGCACGCGAACGACGGGTGTATATTTCATCCCTAGATGTCACTTTCCCCGCTGCTGCGTTATTGGAGAATTCCTGTGCAAGGATTTTCAAAGATTATTTCATTATACTCTGCCACTTCAAGACATGATCATGATCATGTTGTCGGCACACCACTTCTCGAGTACCAAGAACTATATTCAATGCATGACTCTGATCCATATTGAGCACAAATAAATCCTCAAGCAAATGTCCAATGAATAACTTCGTTTCCTTCCTTTCTGCCGAAAATTTATGTTCTTTTTAAACTTGCATGAGTAAAAATCCTTGGAAACCAGCTACCATTTTTTAGGTTGCACAAAAAGGTTTTTTTATTCACAACTTCCAACGATTTATTTTCCAACGAAAATAAATCATTATCCATCGTCGTTTGAGTTGGTGAGTTTTTTGTATCTTTTAGTTAGAATACACATTTTAAATGCTCCGTGGCAGGTTTGTTTTCTCGGTATAGTTTTCCGGATGGAGAAATAACTGACTGTGTCTGTCTTCTTAAAATGTTGGCCTTATTGCTGATGAACTGATGAATCTACAATTAAATGCGCATCGCAACTTCGTTGATAACTTTCTGGGTGAAGCTCGAAGGATATACGGTAACTTGTCGAGAGACGAGACCGATAGAGGGTTCCATTTGAGGTTTATGACCTAGGAACAAGCTCCTACTTATGATTATCTTTTGGGATGGGTAACACAATTCGGGTTATCGTTGATTTAATTTGTGCGTACTTATCGTGAGTTCATAAATCATTCGTGATTATGGCCATTTAACATCTCGCAAGTTGAAATTTCATTTCTGCTTTTAAATTTGGTTGATGGTGCTTCAGTAAGTCTCAAGGCGTAGGGTTTAACAAGTTAGCGGTCGATCCGGCGTATATACTTAATGGAAATTATCAAAAGAAATATGGCTTGATTCTCTTCAAGTTCACCGAATAATGCAGGATGTTTTTTCAAAAAATACCGCTGTAAGCTTTAATATAATCTCAAAAACGGGAGAAATGCTTAAGCGACATTTAGTCGTGTCTTGCACGCAACTTTACGTCGGTGTTTTTCGCTGCAGCTTTTCGCAAATATTTTTACTGCGGGCTTTCCCGGACGAGACTATTCTAGAGATTATGAGACGAAGGTGTGCATACCTTGATGATTTGATCCTTCATTTGTGAGGTCTTCTTATGGTTTTTGAAAATATTTTTTTAGCGTCAGAATGCTTAAACAGGTCGTGTTCAAGGCTTGGGATAATGTTGCTTTTAGGTCTTAGTTGTTCACGTTTCGTACTTAGAGCTGCGATGCTGGGGTATATACGTATGTAACTTGGTTCTTCTAAACTGTCATTTTTTGAAACCTCGACTTTCCCAGCACGATTGTGGAATTATTCAGCGTAAACATCATGAGCTAGGCTATTCTTTCATAGGCACACCAACCACTTTGAAAATAGTAAGCTCAAAGTTGGGGATAATGAGTTGATCTGGTAGTTATTTGATTCTCGGTATCCTCAATCCAAGCCGAACAAGAGAAGCATGTTGTATGTATTCAACTCCGATAATAGACAAGCTATAATATACTTGAATTTGCGAATCACTCAGGGGCAGGTATGCCAACACTGGCTCTTGCGCCAATAGCAACTCTTATGAAAGAGTCTTGAATTCACGGGTAAAGAATGCGATTGTCCTGGACCAGCGCAAGCTTTTGAACGGAAATTAAACGACGAATGCAGCTGAATACCATTTTCACTGGGTCAAGAATCGTTGAATTTGATTTTTTTTGAGCATGCGTGAATCCAATGTACAGTACGTTTGAGAATATTTCTAGCAATGGACCTGCTGCGTCTTCCAAGGATACTTTTTTTCATTTTCGGAAGTAGGCGAATTTTGTCATTGAAGATTGGAAATACGCTATATATACTGTATATGTACATGTCTTGGAATTAGAATAATACAGAAGACAGTTGATGAGCCCTGCTCTGGGAAACTCTGTATAGTTCGAAGGTACACGATCGCGGTTCAGCATCCGCGGCGATTTTGGGAGAAAATGGGGCCGCGAGATCGGAACATGGCGGACGAAGAGTTATTTATTCAGAGTCCGGATCGCGGATATAACGAAGGAGCGCCAATTAGCGCCGGATGTTGGCCGCCGCGGATCCCGTTACGACAGGGGACAGCAGCGGCGATGGCGGCGGCGGTGACGCGGGGTGTTTGGGATGCGAGCCACGTCCGCGCCTTGGGCGTTCATTAAATCCGCCGTCGTGTTCGACGCGCAGCGAGATGACATCTAGTCGTCGCCGCGATTTTCTTTTCTTTGCTTTTTCCTCTCGGTTCGAGCTCGTCGATCCTCTGCCTTGCGACACTGCGGGTATTTGCGGGACCCCGTGATGGATGAGGGAGATGCGGTATCGGGCCCAGGATCGCGGCCCGGCCGGAATTAGGCCCCTCGATCGGAGCAACTTTTACTCCGCGCAGCTTAATTGAGGACGCCACTGATTAGCGGTGACAACGCTGCGCCAAACGAGACCTTTTCTCGGACACCTCGGCCCGAGTTGGAGAAATGGTCCGTGGGAGACCGGTAAAAGGCCGTCTACATGTTCGTCTCCTCTCTTCTGTTTTGTTCACAGATTCAGGACAAATATAGGGTTTCCATGTCTTCCATCAAGCACGTGTATCGCAGGAATCTGAAGGGGTGAGTCCTTGATTCGCCTGCCTCTCCTCTGATCTTGAAAGATACTCGAAAATTTCACCCGGGTCACAACTTCTCGTGTTTGTTTCCGGGGATTCGAAAGGTGTTCTTGGTTACACAGCAGAGTATATTTTCGAAATATTTTTTCTCGATATTGTCAGTTCACTTTTACGAATACCGGAATAAGTGGAACCTGGTTGAATCAAAACCAACCTTGAGTGATAATAACTTGAGATATTCTTGAAATTTGAGCATATCACAATATCCCGAAGTGCTGCGAAGATCAGGAAAAACCTTGGAATTTTTAGCGTATCTGCTACAGCAAACATTCTCAAAAAGTTCAAATCGTCAATTTCTTCAGATGGCTTACGAAAAAATCGTCAGAATTCGGTACTTTATTTTCGGAGAACTATCTTTTTTCCAATGTCCAGTCCTTACTCTGAAATTGAGAACATTGAACTTTATTCAAATAGAATGCAAATGGGATAACTTTTAATCCAACTAAATCGAGGTACGTATAACAGCTAAACTGAACGAAAGCCTTCGGAGCATGTCATGCGTAAACTCCACGAATTTTTCAGCTATTCCTTGAGGATTAATATTAAAATTTTAGTTGGCTATAATTTTCATTGCCTTTTTCCGAACTTCTCGGCAATCCGAGAGGTGGACGGTAGTGTAATGAAGTTCTGCATTCAGAAGTTATCATCATTCCCATAATTGTTGAATTGACGACGAAGCCAGTTTGCTACTTACTATTTCCTCTTGACTTTTTCAGATAGATGTAGAATTTTCTTCATCTATTGAATTCGACAGCGAACGCAGCAATAGTTTGCAGCTTTGGTAGCAAGATTGTGATGTGCCAAAAAATCAAGTTGTCGTTTCGTATAAAAGAAAACGATTTTACAGATGCATATTTGACATTTTTCCTATCTAGTATACCAAATTTACCTCTAAACGTATGCTGTTCGGGATGAAATCGAAGTTTCTTCTTCGCATTTGTAAAGAAAACAAGACTCCATCTTCTATGCTTCTCTACAGGACATACTCGAATTGGACTTCCATAAAAACGCCATTCTCGGGGAATCTGTCACAAGTATGGAATCACTTACACAGCTGCGTTGATAGTTCCGATATTCTGTAGTGCGCAGAGTTGCGTTTTTACTGCGCTTGTACATCCTTCATCTTGCCTTGCAACTGCATTATTGTAGTTTCTTGCCGTGAAGTTGTAGAATTTTCGTATTCTTCCCATTTCTCTCGCTATGTACCCTGTCATATCAATGTTTTTTTTCTATTTAGTTCGTGCAGAATTTGTACTGGCTGGGGTCGTAAAATGGTTTTGGATTTTTTTAGGATTACAGTCAGGGTTGATGATGACATGTTGCGATACTACTGCAACGAGGACGTATTCTCAATAACCGTCGAAAGGCTGGACGAGGAGTACTTTCAGATCACCATGACTCCTGAGGACGATTTTGTGGACCGTCATCCTTGCGCCACACGCGCTCATCAGGAGTCGGCATCTGGCGGGAACTGAAGAATGAATACGTTCAGTATATTCACACAAGAGGTCCAACTTTTTTTTTTTTTTTGCGCTGCTGTGATGGATTCACGTGTTTTCGTGACGGTGGCTTCGGTTTATGTTATGTTGTTGGTACTTTTGTTGTTTCCCTCTTGCGAATGTCGTTTCTGAAATTGGGTTTGGTGCAACGAGTTTCCTAGCGAACGGCGAGGCAATTCGGTATTCGGAGGCTACGATATAGAAAATTTTCTGGTCATCTGCAATGGTTCGGTGCCATTTGAAGGAAACAGTTAATATTGATGTAGGACGGAGGAATCGTTTTAGGAACGGCTTCGTCCCGCGGTAGGAATAGAATCGCGATTCTGTCTAGGAAGATACGAATCTCTATGTACTCGTACGTATCCATTGCGGGAAAAGGTGCTTGAAGTTCAAGACCACGCGTACCTGATTTCTGCCATTTTTTTGATGAATGTCGTGTCTTAAGCAACCAGATCGATGTCATCGTGTGACACGTCCGGCTGTTCCTGTGCAATCAATCAAAGGATTCAGAAAGAAATAATATTGCTCAATGCTTTGCGCGTGCCTATTGAACAATTCATTTTTGTCGAGAAAAATTCAGCGGGGTCACGAATGGGGATGTAAGCTTCCTGTCTGCGTCCATTGGCAGGACTATGTTCGGGAAATAAGGCAGGAAATGTTGAGCTTTTGGGCATTTGTCTCGAAATTTTTTTGGAAAAGGGGGGGGGGGTTATTTTTTGCGGTCTGTATGTCAAGATCGTAGTTGCTGGATGGTATTTATTGAGTTTTTTATCCGAGCGGGAAGTGTTTTGCAGTTTTGAAGAACCGATTCGGTGAGAGATAACACATGCGTCGTGAGCTTTGTTTGATCATGCCATTCGCTGCGATGTTCGCGCACTGATGCGTCCGCTCGTCCCCTGGAATCATTGTTTCATTTGTACGCCGTTCAGCTTGGTTTTGTATGATACTGGAGATGAGCTGGATTTACAGTTGCATTCCTGGTTACGCAAGTGCCTCGAGTTGTGCTTCCCCACGATGTTTGTTGTACCTGCCCGAGCCCTGTTAATTTTGAGGATGTGATGGATCAATCGAAAGTTGCGGTCGAGTGCTTGCGTTTGCGTGGCCTGGGGTGAAAGACGGGTTAGTTCGTGTTGATCGAGGAAAGTCGTGAACCAGGGGCTTCTCCTCACCCCCCGACCCCGGAGAAATCGTTTCGGAAAAAATCATGTTGTATGGATGTTCGGATCTCATTTGTTCCTCGCTTGTCTAGGCTTGTATGCCGACAAACGTGCTGAATGCGGCGTGAGGTTATTTTTTGCCTGGAATTCAACGCTGCTTTTTCCATGGTGTGGAAATGGTGACTTCGTCACACTATGGACCTTCGTCGAGGCTACCTTAACTTTTCGTACCGTACTCATTATGCGAGTTTATTTTTTTTTTCGTGAGTGGATATTCGAAGGGAGGAGCTCGGTATATTTTTTTTTTGTGCACGAGGACACCTCGGAATTTGGTCGCTTCATTTCGCCAACGCTATACAACAAAATTATTGTTACGTTGCATGAGCAATAATACAATGTATATTTCGTTTCCGTGAGAGAACACCCTTGTTGGGCTGGTTTTATTTCCACACCAATTGTATTCAAGAGCATTTGGGGGTGACGGAAAAAATAATCCTGGAAACCCAGCTGCTACGGACGGCGAAGTAATACATCCGAAGAAATCCTGTTGTAATATGTATTCTGATTGTCTTGAAAGACTCAAGGTATGCTTGAAATATCTGATTTTAAATCATTCGTGGGCGAATAGCATTTCTATGGAGGTCTCGAATTAATTTCAGCATGCGGTAATTCACATGGATTCTTTATTCTTACATTTTTGAGTTTTTAACGTTTTTTTGTTTGTTTGCCTATGAATGCGTTCACGGGTCTCATTTTTTTTCACGAACAACGTCCAAAGTTCGGGTTTGACATATTTACTCAGTTATTCAAGCTCTGTAAAAGTTGGACCCTTTTCATGAATGTAGCTTGTATATGCTTCAGATTATCCAGCATTGGTAAAAATATATGCTCAGTTCGATATTAAAATTTAGCAGCAGGTTCTAGAGTATCTCGATATGTTCTGCGTTTTCCTGAGAAAATTTCGAATTTTCAAAGGGCCGCCTCCTTTTCTAACTGAAAGTAATTATATAACATGGGAATGCGGAAAAAATTGCGTTGAAATGGAATTAATATCCAAGTTTTAAAAAAAAATTTTGTGTTTCTTGGATTGCATTTTTTCCATCTCCACGATTTGTCTTTGAACTTCGACTAAAAAAAAGGGGTTTGAAACTGCTAGGCCATCACTGTCTGGGGCCAGGACTGTTTCCATTCCCCTGCTGCTGGTTAAATCCAGAGAATGTTGTGATTGGAGAGTAGAAGCCACTTCCCGAACCTTGCAACCAGGGCCTGACTATGCCAGAAATGCTGTTGTATCCACCGGGAAATCCGCCCGAACCGTAGGATCTCCTGAACCACCACGGGATGGACGGCCAGTACCCGTAACCGTTGGGTGGGATCGGGTTCCAGCCTGAAGATCCCCAACCGGATGATCCCGGGAACTGCCCATACCCACCGGGGTACCGATTGAAGCCGAATCCTCCCCCGCTTCCTCCGAAACCCAAACCTTCTTGCGGGAAGACTGAAGCTGGTGCCGCGCAGATGCAGGCGACTAAAGTCCAGAGAGTCTGCAAATTCAATCAAGGTTTAGGATATTGTCAACTTTTTCCGCTTTTTCATCGACGGAAGATTGTTTTCGAAACCTCTCTTTTGAAACTAATTCTTGGTAGAATTGTTGTTTGCTCGTATGATCACAAAAATAGTTTTGTGTAGAATCGAATGCTGCATATCAATTGTATTCGACAGATCAAACTTGTCTGAATGACCTCCTAATTCCCCATTATATGGGTTATGGTCGGAAAAGAAGGAAATGAAGTGCACGAGTAGAGAATAACTGGGAATGTAATACTGTATCCAGGCCGCCTCTTCGATTCAAAATTTGGGAGGATAGTTCAATAAAATGCTCAGATAATTGAAGCTTTAGTTAGCTGGCCAATTTTTTGTTCATATCGTCCATATCAGACTAATTTACTTCATTTGAATTTTTGTTCTGTTTTTCTGGAGTGGCCGTATAGAGCACACGTTGAGAACCTCCTCTTGAATTAAAATACAATACTCACGATCAACGACATTCTCCCACTAGTTTTCTTCGCCAAAAGTCACTCGAGATTTTTTTTTCTTTTGCTAGCTGGACTCCTTGTCTTGTTTTTTATTTGATCCGCACTGGCCTGAGGGCGAATATCGAGTTGTCTGATGCAGATCCGGCTGCGATATTTATGGCTTAGCTCGGGAGGCTCAATTACTCCCCCAAATCTAATTTCCTATCTACGGTTGACGACAGTAGCGGATATCCCAAGGTTTTTTGCACGGTTCACAGATTCCTACGTCACTGACCAACAATCTTTGCATGAAGTTGCGAGGCGCTTTTTCCTCGTTTGAAATTCCAGCCCTCAGCGATTGACTCTTGCGATTGCAGCATTCCGACATATAGACTCTGTTAACACTCGATTCTTATGTCAAACAGGTTTATTCATGCGGTCAACAATCAAAACGAGATCAAATATCAGAATGGATGCATTCCAGCAAAGAGATTGCACAGCTCATCGAAAAGGGACGTAGATTTTTAGGGGACATAAGTCAAGTACAGTACCCACATCATGAATGTCAATTGTAGAACAGTGTCGAACCTAAATTGTGAATACTGTATAACTCGAATGCTCTATGAATCCAATTATGCGTGTCCAAGTTTTGGTTCATCGAGAGCAAACAAATTGAGTGGCCTCTGTTTTTTTATTTTATTTGAGCAGCTTTATTTTTCTCCGATCAATCAATTTTTCCAGGCCACTGAGAGTCGTAGGAGTATTGGTCCTAGTACTAATGATAACTTTTTGGATGAAACATTTTTCATTATGAATTTTCCATACCCTGGTATTCGGGCTAAGGTACCCGGTCATTAGTTGGAATTGCTGGAGTTGTACTCAAACTAAAAATCGCTCGACCGATGCAGATAAAACAGGAAATCACAAGCATATCATAGGAAAGTGGTGAAATTGTTTCGCCGATCACTTCATCACTGGTGTGAATATCCTGGGTGTAAGGTTTTCTTTTAATCAGAAATCAGTTATTGCCTGATGAAATATTTTTTTCTCTGATGGAGTTAGCAATAAAATTGAAGAGGAAGAAATTGTATTTAGTTGATAAATCAGGTAATAGTGACGGTTACATATCTTTTCTCTGCCGATAAATCATCTTCATACGACCTGGAATTCTCGAGCTCATCTTGGTAAACGCGGAAGTTATGTTTGCCAAAGTTTTTTGAGGCATCCTCGATTTTGTAGAATTTTTAAAATGATTTTCAGACCAGGTAGTAGCGCATATAGTCCTATTATTTCAAAAATAGGCGATGTGAATAATAGCGGAAAGTAAAATATCTCGCGATTCGCACATGAGCGCTGGACATTAGTTGCAATACAAGCTGATCCCCGGAAGACGAACTTACGAAATGCGTCGGATGACCTTGATTTCGGAATATTTCGAAATACTTTTCGAGAGTGACGAGGTTAAAGTCTTGACAAATAATTCCAGAGGGAAATCGAGAATCCGCGAGTGTATCTGTCGCGATCGCCATTGCCGGTAATGAGCCGACTCGGGTATCAAACCACTCGAAACAGAGTAGTCTCGACGTTCCGCTACTTATTCGGCTTATCATAGCGTGATTGGACTAGATTTTGAGATTTGGAGGACGAGGCCGGTTGCACTTTTTTGTCGTCAGATCTCATTTCACGTGAAGGTCGAACACATTTTGTTGTAATTGAATCTACTTCAGAAAGCAGGAGATGCTGCAGTTGATATGTTGGGCCATCGCAGAGAAGGCACGGTTCACGGCTATATACGAGGTTAGGTGTTGCATTCCAGTTGTTCCCGAAATTTTCTTCAGTTTTGCCGGTTCCAAGTTGTTTCGGAAATGCCAGTTTGAATCGAGAATTTCCTTCATCGTGTCTATCAAAAGTCTCTTGATCAATCACGATATTCGGTAATTCGACTGACAGAAAAATGTCATCTTCAAGTGCATGGAACAAACTTCATCTTAACGTTTTGCGTGGAGTCTTTTATTGTATTTCGAATTGGTGTCGATGCGGATTTTTACGACGCATTCGGAAATTTTGAAGCCACGTTCGTCATCTGCGCTAAAGGTACTGCAGAGTACTGTACAGCGCTATAAAAAATTGGATCCCCATTACAGTACCTTGGTATGAAAAACAGAAATGAGTTCTTGTAATGACGCTCGGGCAGTATAAACAAGAGATCAGGAGACTAGAAAATATTTGCAGAGGAACTCGGCTTTACGTTAGTATTCGACTTCTGCAGGCATGGATGAAAAAATATCGCGGTTTACTTGAAAACGAAGAACCAAGAGCATTTGGGACTGAAAACATATTTTTGAGATTCCAAATTTCTTGAACGCAAATTTTTCTTCATCTGATTTATCAGCGTGAGTCGTACTTGCAAAGTCATGGTGAAAATCGTAGTGGAATCATGCCACAGCTTATAAATTGACCGTTGCCAAGTACAGTACTGTTTGTATAAATAATTTAAATAACATTTTATTCGCATCTTAAATATACTAGCGGAAGGTCTTGCGTTTGAATGAAATTATGCAAGTATGCTGCTATGCAATTTTATTTGATTAAAATAGACGTTTGTATGCGAACCATGGATAGGGATCTATTTCAGCTATCTATTCGTTTGAATCTTAAACAGCATACTGGAAAAATTTAAAACCATGATATTTGCCTCACCCTGATATTTTAAAGAATCTCTGGAAATATTTAATCTATTCGGAGAAGTTGCAGTAGTCTTAGTTTCTTGAACATAATCAAAAATATCCTTTCATCCGATAAATGTTACGTTTGTCTATTCCAGCATCAACGAGCATCTCTGATATTTGTAAAGGAGAAAAACAATTCCAGACTTTAAAAATTGGCGTTTAGAAATTACATGACATATATAATATTTTTGCAATACCCACCGAGTTCAAGAAGCAACACATTTCCCAGGTGCCTTATGAACTTTCCTTCAAGTCCGTCGTACTGTTCGATCCCTCGCTCATCTCGGTAGATTAGACCACATCTTTTACGCACAATACTTTTCCAATGGATTAAATATTCTAATTTTTTCTCAATGTGGCATGCATTGTCGTCGGTCTGAGTTAATGAAAGCGAATCACATGAAAACATTATGGGTCACTTCGTTTCCGCTTCTGTACAAGACAATAAGATACGATTAATTAAATAAAGTGTTGATTCAATTCCGGAATTCGGAATTTATGTTATTAATTGTGACACAAACGATCATTTTTTTCGCGCTTGCTTCAAGAGTTACCGGGTGCGAATCTTGAGAGAAAAATTGGTAGAATTTTCATCATCTGCATACGTACCATATACCGTTTGATGAAGAGAAATCAGCTTGT